AAAAGCCTATAGCTCTTCCTAGGTTTGACAGGCACACTCTCACTAAGGCAGGAATCTGGTCCGGGCTGTGAGGGTGCATGTGTCTGGCTGTCAGGCCATGCTGACTGTCCTGCTCACAGTTCTGAACCCTCGTCCCCCAGACAGGGGCTGTCTTCGTTCCAGAGCCTTGTTGTGCACGCCCTGGTTTGACTGGGGATGCTTCTGAGTTCCCTCTCCTTGGGAAGTCGATGGCTCCTCCCCAGACTGCACCATCATTGGGTCTTTTGCTCTGAGGGTAAGGAGATGTCCAGTGTGGCCTTCAATATCTTTGAACTTAAACGTACTGTGCATTCCTTCTTAATCTCTGTAGTATTGCAGCACTTTTTAAAGATTAGCCTCCTTGGGAGGTAGAGAGAGGATATTCATCCACTCTTACTCCCCAAAAGCCCTCAACAGCAGGTGGCAGCAAAACCCACTGTGCCACAATGCAGGTCCAGGTAACGGCTGTTGTCCCGAGTGAAAACACGAATGTGCCTCCAAAAGTTCATGAACATTGTATAAGGAGAAAAACATGTATCAACTTCAAACCTTCTGTTTTTACGTGAACTTTTTGAAGTACCCCCACTCAGTGCCCTACCCATTAGTGTGCCCTTCCTGCTCTTGCTGTCCCAGGGTCTGCTCATCCTCCCATTTTTTTTTCTTTCTCATCACCCCCTCCATCCTAGGCAGTCCTAGTGATGCATTCCCAGCCCTCTCTTGGAGCCTGTTGCTACCCAGATGCCATAAAAGCTGTGTTTTGTCTTTGCCTGGCACTGGCCCGCTTCTCTGACTTCCACCTGCATCCCCAGATCCCCGGGGGACTTGAGTTATTCTCACCCCTTAGAAATCCCTTTCCTTGGCAGAATGACTGAGCCATGGACAGCGTGGGTGTGCATGGTTTTCAGATGGTTTCCAGTACTCACATGTGGGGTCCTGCTGGGGAGGAGGTGTCCTTCCTTCTCATCAGTTTGTGGGGGTTTTAGGTGCTGCTCATGGTCCAACCCACCTCCTCAGGACAGAGGCCTCAGGGCTGAGCCTGCTGTAGGAATACTGGGTGTCTGGTCAAATGTTAAACTTGTGCTGGTGCAAGGAGAATGCCAACCCCAGACGTGGCATATGGCATTGTTGCTGGGTCACCCAGTGCATTTGTGATGGTACCCCTGTTCTCTGTTTCTAGAACTTCCTACAGCCCAGCTTGGAGGTTGCTGCTGCTCTTACCAGAGCCAGGTCCTGGCTTGCCTTCTCATGAGCTGAACCACTGGCTTGGGGGTTCTTGTTTACAGATAGAAGCTGATGACGGGCATCATGGATGCTTTAAGAGCCCTTCCTGTCTACCTGCTGCTCTGCTGAAAGGCATTTTATATTCAGCTCCCGATGGTCCTCATGACAACCAAGTGAGACAGGAGAGAGTAGCTGAGCAATTTGGGCCTGGCACGATAGCCTAGTGGCTAAATGCTGGCCTTGCATACGCTAGGATTCCATATGGGTCCCAGCTGCTCCACTTCCCATTCCAGCTCCCTGCTTGTGGCCTGGGAAAGCAGTTGAGGATGGCCCAAAGCCTTGGGACCCTGCACCTGCATGGAAGACCTGGAAGAGGCTCCTGGCTTCTGATTGGCCCAGCTGCAGCTTTTGTGGCCACTTGAGGGGCGAACCAGCAGACAGAAGATCGATCTTTCTCTCTCCCCTTTTCTCTGTAAATCTGCCTTCCCAATAAAAATAATACGAACAATTGAAAAAAAGTTGAGCCATTTGTAAGGGTCTTCCTTAAAGTCTACCTGTGCTTGCCTCCCCACCCCTTACGCCCCCCACCCCTCTCCACCCCCCCATACCCCGGCCATTCATCCCAGCCCTCCCAGCCGGCTGTTCCCAGGTTCAGGTCAGCTTATGCTGATCTGCACCTTTGTTCCCTTCAGAAGGCCCGTTGTTACTTTGTAAGGCTTCCATTGAAGACCTCCCATTCCTTGTAGAGTTCCTGTTAGAGACCTACCCTGACTTCTCTCTCAAAGTCTCCACTTCAAGGGTGGGGGTGTGAGACTGGTGGGAGGAGAGGGAAGACATGGCATAATTTCAGATTCCTTCTCCACAGCCTGGGAGTACAGAGGTGGGTGGTACAGACACCAGGGCCTTTCCTTGCCCTCCTCACCAGAGCCCCCAGCCTGGCAGGGAGGAAAAAAATAGCAGTAGGCAGGCTAGGGTTCCTCCCCTGGTGTGATCACCAACTGGCTGGGTGGGCCTGAGCAGGCGGCTGGCCCGTCTGCAACCTAGGGGGTCGGGCAGGGCAGGAAGACTCCCAGAGCATCTTAGACGTGAAGCTGCAGCTGTGCTGTGCCCAGCTCGAAACAGGCATACTAGATGGGACAGTTTCCTTTTGTGGGACCTCTTGTCCACAGGAAGTACTAACTGGAGACTGTAGGGCCAGGCCAGCCCGGGGTCAGTTGGTGAAGAGGTGGCCCAACCCAGAGAATGAAAATGTCTCTCCTGTCTGTGCTCCTGGGGCCAGGTCCATCTGCTGTGGTTTTAGTGAATCCGTTTCTGTTGACCCAGTCATGACCAACAGTGCCCCTAACCCCATATATATCATTGTTCTGTGCTCTTACTTTGTCTTTAAGATTTGCTTTATTTGAAAGGCATGGTTATAGAGAAAAGGGGAAAGAGAAGAAGCTTCCATCCACTGGTTCACTCCCCAAATGTTGCAATGGCCAGAGCTGGGCCGATCTGAAGCCAGGAGCTTCTCCTTGGTCTCCATGTGGGTGCAGGGGCTCAGGGCCTTGGGACATTTTCTGCTGCTTTTCCAGGTACATTATCACAGAGCTGCGTCTGAAATGTAGCATCTGGGCCTCGAAGTAGTGCCCACAAGGGATCCTGCAAGGAGGCTTAGCCAGTTACACCATGGAGCTGGCTCTATGTTCTTTGTGTAATTGATTAGTTAACTAATTTCCATTTTTAAAAAAGATTTATTTATTTTTATTGGAAAGGCAGATATATAGAGAGGAGGAGAGACAGAGAGGAAGATCTTCCGTCCGATGGTTCATTCCTGTACCCATGTGGGAGACCTGGAGGAGGCTCCCCACTCCTGACTTCAGATCAGCTTAGCTCCAGTGTTGTGGCCACTAGGGGAGTGAACCAGCAGACAAAAGATCATTCTGTGTTTCCTCTTTGTAATTCTGTCATTCTGATAAAAAATAAATAAATCTTTAAAAAAAGAAAAAAAAAGGGGGTGGTGTTTAAGCTAGGACCATGGCAGTGTAGGAGCCCCTGTATGCAGCCTTGGCCCTGGGTGGCTTCCAGGCCAGCCTGTCAGGCCCAGCCCCTGGCCCTCACGTGGAGAAACACCAGATGTCAGCTAGTAGGGTAAATGAAGATGCCTGGCACACACAGCTTCTCAGGAGTCCCGCCCAACATGAATGCCCCTTAATATCCCCCAAGACATGCTGGCTACCCAAGTGCACTGTGACGTGGTGGCATGACCATCCCCATTCCCTAGTCCATACAGCCACATCATCCAATAGCTGTTTATGGGATCAGCCTGCTTGTTCATAATGAAGAAGGGTTTATTGCCTCCAGTAGGGGATGCAATCCAGGGGCCATGTTCCCAGTCCCTCAGAGCCCCTCTAGCAGAGAAGGAAAATGTCAGTAGAGCAAATTACTGACCCACTACTTTGGAACCCATAAATATTAAATTACTCTGGCTCTCATAGAAAATTCAAGCTCTGGTCTTTCCTGGGAGGCTATGTGTCTGGTTAATGCAAGGTGGGAGGGGACTGGCTGGCATTGCAGAGGGTGAGGCTAGGGGCTAACAGAGTCTGTAGGCTGGGGTCAGTGGGGTCAGTGCTAGCTGGAGGAGAAGCAGCGGGGAGTGGGAGGCAAAGAGCAGGGAATTGGCACAAATACCATGCTGTCCGGGCTGGGGCTCCGAGTCACCAAGGGAAGTGTTAGGGTTCTGGGCTGTACAGTTTGCGGGCGAGCTTTGAGTTGCTCACTCACTTGTTCTATTATTCTTCCTATCATGTCTGTTTCTCTTTTGAATGATCTGTTACATGGTTACATGAATTCAGGTTTAGTTTTACATATTCTTTGTATGAAAGGCAGGATGATAGAGGAATAGAGAAAGAGATTTTTCTATCTGCTGCTTAATTTCCCAAATGGTTCGTACAACCAGGGTTAGGCCAGCCTGAAGCCAGGGGCCTGGAATGTGCACATAGATATCATCAGCTGCTGCTTTAACAGGCGCTTTAGCTAGCAGGGAGCTGGATCCAAAGTGGAGTGGTTGGGACTTAAACCATTGCCGGCATCTCGGACATTGTCTTATCCCACCGTGTCACAGCGCCAGCCTCTGTTTTGCTTTTCTTATTCCAACCTAGGTCTCCAGTGCCCTGTTCCCTCCAAGGACCTCCCCTGTCAGAGCAGTGGATACTGGAATCTTCTGAATAGTGCTAGGCTGGGGGCTGGGGGCTGGGCTGCTGGCTGTCAGCCAGCCAGCTGTTGTCCTCTAATTCCCCTGTTGCAGCCCAGCCCCAAGCTCCCTACCAGCTTGTGTGCAGACTCCTGTCACATCTGCGGTTGGGGGCTGAGCGAGGTAGGGGCAGGCTGTGTCCTTAGCATGCAGAGCAGCCGGGCACTGTGCTGGTGTCATCTTACACCTTCAAGGCTCCTTCTTGCCCCTGGGGCTCCCAGGTCGCTGGGGTCTCCTAAACTTAGGAGCTGAGACTTGGTACAGAGTTCTTTAAATACCTCACACCATTGCTCTTTATGCCATGTAAGAGATGGCAAGACGTCACCTTCACCATAATGCTGCTGAAGACACCCAGGCCATAGAGAGGTGCCAGGGGGCCCCAACGGACTGTGTAGCCAGTCAGCAGCCAAACCTGGAGTCAGTCTGGCGCTCTTCATTGCTGCTTGGCTCTCAGTGTTGAACCTGGGTGTGCCTTGTTCCTGGCCTGCCCTTGTGAGCTGGTAGCCCAGACACGTGCTCTCTCTTGCAGGCATCCCCACGCTCATTGTTCTGGACCCGCAGGGAGAGGTGATCACCCGGCAGGGACGGGTAGAGGTGCTCAACGATGAGGACTGCAGGGAGTTCCCATGGCACCCTAAGCCCGTGCTGGAGCTGTCCGACTCCAACGCTGTGCAGCTCAACGAGGGCCCCTGCCTTGTGCTCTTCGTAGGTATGGTGCTCAGTGGGTTCCCTGGAGTGGGGTGCTGGATAGAGTGGTCTCCACGTGGGAGGGGCCTGTGCCTGCGCTTCTCAAAGCATGAGCCTGGACCTTTATGTCTCCACTGTAGTCTTGTCGACCCCAGTGATTTATTCATGGCTCTGCTTGGGTGGGAGGTGTTCTTGGAGCTGCTGGAGGCAGCATATGCTAGCTACCCGCTGGGCAGAATAGGTCAGGCCAAGAGGATGCCCTCAGCCATAAACTGAGCCATTGTTGGAAAGAGGCTGGGCTGCATGCACAGCAGCTGCAGGGGGCTGGGCCTCCTGGGGTCAAGGCTCATTGCAGCTGCTTCTGCAGCTCCTCTGTCCCAGCAACCTGCTTCAGGGGTCCAGGGCACATCCCTCCTCACTGGCCAACTGCATTTCTCAGGTTGGTAGCTGGGCTGGGTCCGGGCTGACCAGAGGAACAGCCACACTAGGGTCTGTGCAGGCCCATCTGCTAGCTGGGACCACTGTACCCCACTGCCTTGGGCCCTGTCAGTGCCCTGCAACTCAGCATGAGTGTGCTGGGACGCAGACCTGGATGCTGCTATGCTGACCGCAACTGAGGGGCCATTTGGTATGTATAGCATCCTCTTGCCAGTGCCAGCAGGTCTGACCTAGAAGTCCATGCCAGAGGAGCCCTAAGCAGGCAGGTTTGAGGGGATTCTGAAACTGAATTGCAGCCTGGGTCTGTGTTTCCTTGAGGCTATCCAGCCTGGGGCTCCCTGAGGAGGCCATGACCACCTGTGGAAATTCAGAAGGGGGTCCGGGGAGGCACGAGGTGATAGTGGCAGGTAGAGGTGGCTGTACACTTTGTCTGGCATCCATGGCCTCCTGCATGGCATGGACTCTGCCTGTCTGTCCCTTCCCCTGCCCTTGCTCCTTTGGGGATGCTGGGCCTGCTCTGTTACTCTCATGTGCTCAGCCTTTCCCCTAGCCCAGTCCTCTCTGCCAGCTGTGAAGTTGGCCTCCCAGCCACTGGTGTGCCCTCACCACCATCAAAACTAAGGACCACACCTCAGTCCTTACTGCCAATTCTTCTGCCATTTTCCATAAAGATTTAGAGGTCTGAGATTGTGTGACTGAGAGAAAAGTGACCAGGGTTCTCAGGACTGTTTAGGGGGAAACTCAGCTTCCCTGGTGGGTTTGGGAAGAATTTATAGGGGTGGATGGGGACTGGGGCCATTCACAGAGGCTGGTTGTTCCTGGGGAGCCTGGTATGGGAGAGCATTGTGCAGGTGTCCTTGGCTGCTATCAATGTGCACACATATGAGCATGTGTGTACATGCATGCATGCGCACAGATGTGTAGGCACATCTTAACACATGCAGGAAATGGGGACCTGTGTGCCAGGGGAAACTGTTTTCCCATTCATGTTCTACTTAGACAGCCATTTCTGCAGCTCAGGCTCTCAATGAAGCCCCACTGGGCCCCACTTCTTTGTGTTTCTTTCCCACCCCCCCACCCCCGCCATGGCAGACTCGGAGGATGATGGGGAGTCTGAGGCCGCCAAGCAGCTGATCCAACCAATAGCTGAGAAAGTCATTGCCAAGTACAAAGCCAAGGAGGAGGAGGCTCCGCTTCTGTTCTTTGTGGCTGGAGAGGTGAGTATGGGCCCCGTGGTACCAGTCTCAGAATGGTCTAACGGACCCAGACCCCAAGAGGGAAATGTGGCATGGGAACCTGTGTCATGGGGTCACAGGGAGCAGTTCCTTCCCTGCAGCTTCCTTCTTATGCAGCAGCTTTGGTTCAGCAGGCAGTCTTCCCAGGGCTGTTTCCCATGCAGGCTGCTGGGGAAAACAGCAGCCGGAATGCTGGGATCCCCTCCCTTGGTACTGGGTCAGAGCCAGGCCCCTGATGCAATGCAAAGCGTTGGCTTCTCTAGTCCTTCCTCAGTGACCTGCAAAGTGGTCTGCTTTAGGGGGGATCCTGGTTGGGTGGAGAGCCGGCACCACTGTTACCCCCAATAGGGTATAGGGTAGGATTGGAAGTTGCTGCCTGTCTCCATCCCTCACCCAAGATCTGACCCTGAAGGGCTAACTGGCGACTCTTCCCCAAGGTAAGAAGGTGGGGCCCTTGATGGGAGCCCCTTTGGCAGGTTCCTGGCCCTGCAGTATGGGTGCCTAGCAAATAGGCATTTCTACAAGACCTTCCTCTGCATTAACTTGGTCCCTGCCCCCGGTACCCGTGTGTGTCCCCTGTTGGCCAGAGCACCTGGATCCCAGGAGATTTGTAGAGAAGACAAACACCCTGGACCACCTATTTATCACCATCTCATTAGCCGCCTTGCTCTTGCTGCAAGGCCTCTGGTGAGCAGCCCAAAGCTTCCTGCCCTGCCCCTGTGAAGGGAAACCAAGAAGGCCCTGCCCTAGCTGCCTCACACAAAGGCCAAGGCTGCTCTGAGCTTGTTAAAAGCTCGCCCCTCAAAGCCAGAAGCTGGTCACATTGTGGAACAGAGGGACTCTGGCTAGAAGGCTGCAGAGGGGCCCTGGTGGTGGGGATGGGAAAAGGGACCTCCCTGGCCATCCGAGTGGGCAGGTATGTGCTGTCCTGCCTCAGAGGAAGGTTCCTCCTCAGGGCAGCCACTGTTGCAGAACCACTGCTGCGTCCCTTCAGACCTGGGCTGCAAGTAGAGACTTGTCAGTCTCGCAGGAAGTAAGTAGTCCAGGGACATGCTCTGGAGGGCCACTGTCACTGCAGAAGCCATGTTTTCCTGCCATCTGTCCACAGGCGCTGACAAGACCCCTCAGTGCCCAGGTCCCCAGCCCTGAGCTGCTGCCTTCTGCTCAATCTTTCCCCCCACCCCTCTTCTGAAACCTTAACAGGTGGGAAGATTCTCCCTCCTGTGCATGTCTGACCTAGGCTCCCACAGTAGATGTGTGGCGCTGATCCAGATGTCTCCCTTGTGCCTACCAAGAGTTTTGCTGTGTTATTATTTGGAAGGCAGAGACAGAAGAGCTCCTATCTGCTGTTTCCCTAAATGTCCACCTTGGCTGGGGCTGAGGCAGGTCACAGCCCATAGCTCAGGCCATATTTCCCACATAGGTTACAGGTCCCCAAGTGCTTGAGTCATCCCCTCTGCTTTCCAGGGGGCACACTGGCAGAAAGCTGGAATTGGAGGCAGAGCTTGGAATTGGACCTGGGCACTGCTATGGGACGTGGGCATCTCAACTGGCAACTTGACTGCTAGGCCTGCCACTCACTGCTCTATACCATGGGAGTTTTCTGTTAACTCCATGGACAGTGCCACAGAGAAGCTGACTTGACTGGCATGGCTGGCAGGTGTACTCCATTTTTGGGTAGGGAGAAGGACCATCATTTGTAGGCTTTCTGCAGACGGCCCAGTAAGAAAGCAATGGAGTTTTGGGTCCCAGAATCTGGAGAGGCGTAACTGCTGTGCCTCCTGGTCACATCATGCCTGAGCTTTTGTTTATGGGGTGTGGGGTGAGGGTGTCCACTTTCTTTCATTCCAGTCTGTAGTGGATAGCATGAGAGGGCATCCCAGTGGATCTCTTTTTCTTCTTGTCTTTGCATTTCTGGGTTTATCTTTGAGCTAGGCTGTGTCTGATACTTGGAACCCTCACCTAGATAGCCACTGGGCGTACGTGAGAAAGTGCAAGCCTTCGTCTCAGATCAATACAGTGAGGCAGGGCACCTCTGGGTGTGCCTGAGTGGCCCTGTATTCTGTGCTTGGCTGCCTGTGTAGTTCTCTCTCTTTTTTTTTAAATGTATTTATTTATTGGAAAGTCAGATATACTGAGAGGAGGAAAGATAGAGAGGAAGATCTTCCGTCCGATGATTCACTCCCCAAGTGAGCGCAATGGCTGATGCTATGCCGATCCAAAGCCAGGATCCAGGAACTTCTTCCGGGTCCCCCACACGGGTGCAGGGTCCCAAGGCTTTGGGCCGTCCTCGACTGCTTTCCTAGGCCACAAGCAGGGAGCTGGATGGGAAGTGGAGCAGCCAGGATTAGAACCAGCTCCCATATGGGATCCTGACGCGTTCAAGGTGAGGACTTTGGCTGCTAAGCCACGCTGCCGGGCTCCTGCCTGTGCAGTTCTTAACCTCCCTGGAACCGCCAGCAGATGATCCGCTATTTCTGTTTAAAAACACTGGGCCTGGCATGATAGCCTAGTAGTTAAATCCTCACTTTGCAACCACAGGGATCCCTTATGGGTGCCGGTTTGTGTCCCAGCTGCTCCACTTCCCATCCAGCTCCGTTTGTGGCCTGTGAAAGCGGTAGAGGATGGCCCAAGCCTTCGGATCTTGCACCCATGTGGGAGACCTGGAAGAGGCTCCTGGCTCCTGCTTTTGGATCATTTCAGCTCTGGACATTGTGGCCACTTGGGAAGTGAACCAGCGGAAGATCTTCCTCTCTATGTCTCCTTCTCTTTTTAAATCTGACTTTCCAATAAAAATAAAATAAATCTTGGGGGGAAAAAACACAAAACACTCCAGAGTCAAAGTCTGGGTTGGCCTCAGACACTCCATGGCAAGGCTGCAAATGACTGAGAGCTGGTTGCAGAGATGAGCGATCCAGATCCCAGTGGTGCGAGTCGCAGTGTCGGGTCAGGTTTCAGTTGCTCAGCTTCTCCCTAACAGACATTCTGGAAGGCAGCAGGTGCTGGCTGAGTGTCTGGCACTCCTGTGGGAGGTCCCAGTGGAGTTCCTGGCTCTTAACTTTGGCCTGATCCAGGCATGGGCCCTGTTGGAGGCATTTGGGGAGGGAACCAGTAGATGGGAGGTTTTCTTCCACCCTTTCAAATGAATAAAGAAACTTTTTTTGTAAACAGTCAAAGGATACCACATGTTTTTTAAAAAAGGGAAGACACAGGCACACTGCCTTTGTGGTAATCAAGCTGGTTTGCCCCAGGGGTACGCAGGAGTTTATCAGTGTCCCCTACTTCTCCAGCAGGTGGTGGCCCCTTCTGTCTATGCCTGCTGTCAGGACGATGGGCTGGGCACAGCTCCATGCCATCTGGGCAGGGCGGGGGCCTCATAGTTCCTTTCTGCAGCACTTACTCGTGTTCTCTCCCTTCGGTGACTTCTAGGATGACATGACCGATTCCCTGCGCGACTACACCAACCTGCCCGAGGCTGCCCCTCTGCTGACCATCCTGGACATGTCGGCCCGGGCCAAGTACGTGATGGACGTGGAGGAGATCACCCCCGCCATCGTGGAGGCCTTTGTGAATGACTTCCTAGCAGAAAAACTCAAGCCAGAGCCCATCTAGTGGGGCCACGGCCTCCTGGGGCCTTATTTAAAACTCTCCTCCTTCTCTTCTTCCTCCTCCTCCCCCCTCCTTTCCCAGCCCTGGGACTTCCCTGGCGTGTCCTGAGTCGCACAACTCGCGTGCCCCACCTCTCTGGGGTGCTTTCTCTTTGTATTCACTCCTCAGCCAACACCCTAGGGTGTGCAGCCTCCCAGTGGCAGCAGAAGAGCCCACCATGTTTGGAAGCTCCATGTGGCATCCATAGGGGTGGCACCACCCAGCCAGGATCAGGGCGGCTTCGCTCCGTCCAGGTCCCTGGCTATCAGCGATGGGTCCGCCACCGTGGTATTCTTTGTGTGTGCGGGTGGTGAATTGGGGCTTCAGCTCCGGTTCTGGCTGCGGCTTGAGAGCATCCTTTCCTAAGTGGTATCCTCCCTATCGGCCCAGGGAGCTACTGATCTGAAAGGAAGCTTGCAGAGTATTTTTGGTGGGAAAAATGAGTAGCTAAGATGATGATTCCTACAGTAATAGCTTTCGTCCAACTGCAACCCTCCCTTCCTTTCATCCCTTTCTTCCTTGCTGTTGACCTTCCCAATGTCTCTGCCTCCTCATAGAGAACAGCTCCTATTCTTATGGAATTTTGTGACTGAATTCTGCCCCTTTGGCACCCTCGCTGGCACAGTGCCACGTCTGAGGTCCCTGTATCCCCTTTGGTGACCCTATCACTCCCTGTTCTTTTCAAAGCAGAAATCCCCAGACGCCTAGCTTTTCCCTAGAATCCTGCAGAAGGAGCTGCACCCTGGGGTCCTGTCCGGCAGAAGCCTTGCGAGGAGCTCTTCTCCCAGGCCTGTTGACTTCTCATCCAGCAGCGGCTGTGTTCTTGGGAGTCGGGCGGGGGCTTTGGCCTGGGGATTTCTGAGGTTTTCCTCTTCAGTGGGCCTTGAAACCATCTCAGGCCTTACTCCGGGATCTGCTCAACACCGAAGCTGTGCACGTGGAGAACCCAGCCCCGCTAAGGAGCTGCTAGCCCCTGCTGAACTGGATTGTTGATCTGTAGTTCAGAGGTACCCCAATTAGTTGGTGATGAGACTGTTTGATGTTGCCAGCTTGAAATGCCGTCACTTAGCAAGAAATAAAGCAGGCATCTCTGGACGTTGTCAAGCACTTGGCCTTTCCTGCCCTGAGTTACAGCCTTCTGTGGGGAGGGGTGTGCACCAGCCAGGGCTGGGCAGTACAAGGCATGGCTCAGAACCTTCATGGGCCACATCCCAAACTTTCAGAGTTCCAAGCCCTGTAGTGACTGTTGGTCACATCCTGGTTTGCACAAGCCAGGATGCTTGATGGATTCGATGCCTGTTGCAGGTCTCCTGCGGGTTGGCCATCATCCCTCCTGGCTGGACCAAGTAGCTGTTGCAGAGGGAGTCCCTTGGTCACCCACCTTGGATGCTCTTTTTTTCCCTCCCTGAAGGAAGCCAAGTGGCCTGAAGCCTACCAAGGCTGCTGTTGGAAACACAGGCATCACATGGGGCCCTCCCTGGGAATATCCGTGCCAGGGAAAGGGACCCTGTAACCTAGCTGCATCGTGGGGTGTAGCAGCCCCAGGGTATGAGATAAGTCTGGCTGCCCTTGGAACGTGTGATTTCTGGGTCCTATCTGAGATTGCCGTGGAGGAAAGGTGATCCTGAGCAGCCGGCACAAAGTCCAAGGAGTTGCTGCAAATGGCTGCAACAGGACAGCCAGGCCACCTAGGAAGCCAGCAGCCTGTCCTGGGCTGGCTGCTCGGAGCTTGCCGCAGTTGGTACTGATGCCAGAGTTCCCCTTTTAGGGTGGAGATGTGGCAGGTGGTTGAGGACAGAGGGGAAAGGTGACTGAAAAAGCTGAGCCCCTGCAGAGGCTGCAGTACGAAAGATCCCTTTCTCCAGGGTACAGACCAAGTGGGTGGCACGGTGACTCCTGCCACTCGGCTTTCTTACACTCGTCATGGCTAATTGGAAGCAGCTTCTAATACCAGCCTGGAGGCACTTGGGGCTTCCACCGGCATCCAGGGCAGAGGAGAATGGGGGGCTAGGGGGGAACCTGCCCTGCATGTTAATGCAGGAAGGTGGCTGTAAAAAGGCCACCCTGAGCTCCCAGATCTCTTTGTGCCACAATGAGTTCCAGATCCCACTGTGCCCTTCTCACAGTGGAGAGGAGGCTGTTTTCCCCCCGCCCCACCTGTCTCCCCTTATTAAAGATGTGTTTAAGAAAGAAGGGCTGTGTTTGGAATTGCTGTGTCCAGTGGACAGACGGGAACCAGATGCTTTTCCAGGCACAAGGTGGCCTCCTGCCATGGTTCCCCCACCCCTAAGTAAGCGTCCCGGAGCTCAGTGGCTAGCACTTTTCTGAGCATACAGAGCCTGCACTGCTGTTTTGGCACCAGCCTGCCTTCAAGTGGTGGTTTCCAGGCAGATTTTGTTTTTTCCTGTTGCCTGCCATAAAGCTGTTCCGCCTCCTGCTGCCCTGTCCCAGGGCCACAAACAGTCTAGCAGTGGTGTACACAAGACAGGATGTGCCCGAGGGGTGGGTTGATGGGACCTTCGGGAGAAAGCTGCACGTGTGTTTGGGGATCCTTATGCAGGTGGGGGTCCTGCACAGGAGCTCTGCATGTGTGGGATTGTGTGAGTCCCACGTGCTCTGGTCACACAGGTACCAGCAGGTACATTCCATTTACACTTGCCTGGCCTCCCTGGGCAGGCCTACACTTGCTGCACAGGACTGGAAGCCGCCATGGTACAGATGGTGAGGGGGTGTCAAAATAGGACTGTTGGCCTTAGGAATGGCCCTGCATCTCCTTTGGGGGAAGAGGGTCTGCCTAGGGAACCCAGGGCTGGCTTGGGGGCGCTGAGCCCACGAGGACCTTTCCAGGTGGCCTCTGCACAGGTGTCTGAAATGAGCACCTCACCCAATCCCTCACTGTTGCCACGAACAAGAACAAAAGCCCATCTTTCTGCCCTCCAGGCAGCTGGGAGACAGGCACAGCTGTTGACTCTGAATTTCGTCATTTGTGCCTGTGATCCATGAGCGTTTATGAAAGTATTTCCCAGGAACCAACAAGTTGAGGTAGGAGGTTTCAGAATGATAGAGAGGTCTTCTATCCCCCTGGTTTACTCATCAAGTGGTTGCAATGGACTGGATCGAGCCAGGACCTTCTTCAGGGCCTCCGTTGCCTACCATGAGCTACTGCTTCTGGGCTTGCAAGGAGGTTCTTCAAGATCTGCAGCTAACCTGGGGCAGGCAGCACAGGGCTCCAGGTGAACTCAGGTGCCCAGATGCCTGCTTGGTCTGGGGCCCTAGTGGTCTAACCAGGGGCCAGTGCCTGTGGCTGGATCAAGGGGAAAACTTTCTGAAGGGCATTGGTAGGGGCTCCCAATAAGAATGCCAGACACTTGGAAAGGCTGCAGCTACAAGGCAAAACAGGGCTAATATTGCCTGCTGTGTCTCCAAAACTTTTGCCCAATACACAGCTGTACTTCACATTCTTTCTTTTGCACTGATGATGGGGGCAATCCATGCATGGCCACCTTTAATACCTCTTGGGCAAAAAAATCTTGTGAGACACCCTCTCACAGGACTTTAAAACCAGGCCAAGTCCCACCCCTCCCTCCAGCACTGGGAGCAGGCTTTGAGGCGCGTTTGCCACCTAGTGGTAGAAGTCACCAGCGCTGCTCTGCCTCCACACAAAGCCATGGGGAGCCTGGCCAACATCCTGACAGTGCTTGCCTTTCAGTTAAACAGGGTTTCTCTTGTTGCTTATTGCTCTCTCATCTCTCATTGCTCAGTTTTTTATTGCTGCTTACTGGGAAGATGGTAACAGAACAAATGTCAGGCTCAGAAAAATTCATGATAGTGATTTTTCAGTACCATTAATGCAAATGGGAACTTCACTGCCACTTGGTTATTTAAAACAAAGGACACTTTTCCTCCTCAACCTGCACTGCATATGAGCCACTGACTGGAACTTGACTGTTTTTGGTTGTTGTTTAAGATTTCTTTTCACTGGAAAGTCAGATTTACAGAGGAGAGATAGAGAAAAATCTTCAACTGCTGGTTTACTCTCCAAGTCGCTACAATAGCCAGAACTGAGTTGATTCGAAACCAGGAGGCTGGAGCAGCTTTTGGGTTTTCCACGCGGGTGCAGGTCCCAAGGCTTTGGGCCATCCTCGATTGCTCTCCCAGGCCACGAACAGGGAGCTGGATGGGAAGTGGAGCAGCCGGGACATGAACTGGAGCCTATATGGGGTCCTAGCGGATCCAAGGTAAGAACCTTAGCTACTAGGCTATCGTGCCAAGCCAAGGACTTTGCTTTCTTACCCCTCTCATTCCCAAACAATCAAGACAGACTCAGAATGCTTGGGAGTACCTTGTACTTCCATCTGTAAACCAGGTAAGGTGTTATAACTTTTTCTGTAGCCATTGTGACCAAAGCTATCAGGAATTTAAGTGATAGGATTACTTTCGAGCTATAGACGTGACTTTCCTTTTGGGGATTTGCTTCAAGTTGTTGAAGCCAAATGCCCACGGACTTGCGTGGAGTTGGTTCCCCACATAGCTGTGTTTACACCTCTGCACCACTGTGTTGCACAATGGCTGGGGCTTGCCTCTAAATCCACTGGCCAGGGCCAAAGGGGCTCAAGGGTGGTCTGCAGGCCCCTAGGCCAGAGTGGGGCATCAGAGTTGTGCTTCAGCCTGTCCCCCACCCCTTAAGCATTGGGCACACACCCTCCTACCCCCTGGAACCTGCAAAGCAACCACATGTGGTAGATCATGTTAGATTCTTACTAGGGAGTTGGGGGGAGTAGGGAAGGGAGGGGGCCCACAGGCATCTCCCCTGGAATGGCTCAATGGCTCCCTAGGAATTCAGACCACTGCAGGACCCTCACCCTCGGGACAGAAGGGACACAGTGAAACCTTCCATTCTTAACTCAACCTTTCCAAACCTATTTGTGGGTTCCAGGCAGTTCCTGAAGTGAGCCCATGATCCAGTCTGCCTGCTTGCTTCTCACTTCTCACGAATACAGGGATACTAGGTGCAAGTGTCTTCATATCCCTGGCTACTCCCTGGGCTGGCACCAGGGGAGTAAAGCTTCAGCCTGCCTTCTTCCCCAGGCTGTGCCCCAACCCTGTCAGAGCCCTCCAGTTACACAGCACCCAGGGCCACTGGCCTTCTCCCCAGCACTCTGTTCTGTGCAGGAGAGGATGACCTGTAATTGGTAACTGCAGTGATTACACGTACCCATGCCATCACACAAAATGGGTTGGAAAACGGGCAGCCAGAAAGGCAACAGGCTCTCAACCAACACAGGACAGTGGGAGATTTTTGTCTAAAGATTTTATTTTTACTTGGAAGAATTATACATAGGTCTTATGGTTCACTCCCCAAGTGGCCGCCATGCTCAGAGCTGGGCTTGTCTGAAGCTGGGAGTCATGTGCACTTTCTGGGTCTTCCATGTATGTGCAAGGGGTCCTGAGAACGTGGGCCACCCCTCACTGCTTTCCCAGGTTATAAGTAAGGAGCTGGATCAGAAGAGGAGCATCTGAGACTTGAACTGGTGCCCATATGGGATGGAGGTGAAGGGTTAGCTTGCTGTGCCATAGCACTGGCCCCAGTGTGGAAGGTTTTGCACTCAGCTTCCTCATTTCTGCATAAGCAGAGCTGACAGGGAGATTGCCCTGCACATAATCATTGGCCTCTCTGTGACAGTCTGAACAGATGTCTTGGAGCCTGGCACATCCCAGCTCAGAGCAGCTGGTTTTGAACAGTAGGCCCTGACTCTTAGTAAGGGCTTTCTCAGTGTCCCGGAAAGGGACAGACAGACCTTGAGACCCTGACCATGCTTCAGATTCCTCATGTCAGGTGCAAGGATTTACCACTGACCAAGGATCAGGAGTGACCCGGTCCTGACCCATCCCAATGCTCGTGACTACAAAGCACCCGCTGGTGGGTGGAGGGACTCCCTCCCTGCTCAAGGTGATGCCTCAGGAACTTTCTGAGCACAACATGCTTCTTAATTTCTCAACACTTGCACAGGTTAGCTCTGTGTGCTGTCACCAGAGGGAGAAGAGACAGATGCTCAAAGCTGGTGGAGACACAGGAGACCTCAGGAATTCTGACCCTGGTTATTTTTGAGGAAAACAGAAACTCCACGACATGTTGGTTTTCTCCCTCCAATAACCATACAGTGAATGGCACCTTGCCTACGACATGCCTCTTGAATGTGGCCTGGGAAACACCGGTCACCTGCCCTGCTGGTCTCCTCACACTGGGCAGGGAAGAAGGATCCTCTCTTGGTGCTAACTCCTGCTCCTGTTCCCAAGGTCTGCTCTTGCTCGCAGCTGCCGCTTCCCTTCAAACAGCAGGATGCTGGCAGCCATGGCCGAGTTCAGGCTGTCCACACCGGGCACAACAGGGATCAACAGCCTCTTGCCTCCAGTGCGCTCAGCCAGCTGCAGCGACTCCAGGCTCACGCCATGGGTCTCTCCACCGATCACCACAGCTGCTGGGGCCCCTGTCCAGTCCAAGTCATAACTCTGGACCTCAAGGTCAGGGAGCCAGTCTCTACTGGCTCCAGCTTCTAGATCTTCCTCATCCTTTTCGGGCTTGTGAAACTTGAGGAATCGTCGGTCACATGCACTGGGTTTATTAGATGCTTGGGCCTGGGCATACAGGCCACAGTTGTCTGCCACATAGACTCGGGTGTCGGGGGGTAGGTGGTCTGGCACAGCTTCCCATTCCAAGTTGTTGACAATCGGCACCTGGAAGTGAGCGCCCATACCAGCCCGCAGCACTTTGGGCTCCCAGGCATCCACGCAGCCTAGAAACAACATATAGCCAGGATTTACCAACCTTGCCACTCTAATGTCTAGATTCTGATGAGGGGGCATAGTGAGTTACTGAGAAGCAGGACTGTTTGCTCCCTGAGGTGGCCATGGCCAGTACATGGCAAGCGCGAGCAGTGTCTAATCATCCTTTCCCTACCTGCTATACACAAGGAATTAATACAGTCCTGGGGAAAAAATAATGGTGCAGTTGGTAAAGCTGCAGCCTTCAACACTGGCCTCCCTCTTGAGTCCCAGCTGCTCCAACTGCCCAGTCAGCTCCCTGCTGACGTGCCTGGGAACATCTGCACAAGACCACCCAAGTACCTGGGCCCCAGACACCCATGTGGGACACCCTAAGGAAGCTACTGGCTTCTGCCTGGTTCGGCCTTAGCTGCTGAGGCCACCTAAGAAGCAAACCAGTGGAGAGAAGACACCTCTCCCTCTCTGTGGCTCTTTCAAATAAATTCTTTTTTTAAAATTTATTGCAAAGTCAGATATACAGAGAGGAAGATCTTTCGTCCAATGATTCACTCCCCAAGTGATCACAACAGCCAGAGCTGAGCTAATCTGAAGCCAGGAGCCAGGAGCTTCTTCCAGGTCTTCCAAGGTGTAGGGTCCCAAGGCTTTGAGACGTCCTTGACTGCTTTCCCAGGCTACAAGTAGGGAGCTGGATGGGAAGTGGCGCTGCCAGGATTAGAACCAGTGCCCATATGGGATCCCAGCACATTCAAAGCAAGGACTTTAGCTGCTAGGCCACAGTGCTAGGCGCTGAAGTAAATTAATCTTAAAAAACAGAAAAACTAAACAAAGTCTCAGCCCCAAATGCCTCCTGATGCAATAAGTGGCAGCATCAAACTGACATTCATGCAGATAGCTGCAGTGGCACAGCGAGGATACATGGAAAACCACTGCTTAATGCAGGACTGTGAGGAAGAGGCCATGAGACGCCAGGACAGGGAGACGAAGGCAGCGGGCAGTTTCAAAAAGGCTGGGCTCACGAGGCTGAGAAACACTTGTTTAACGCTGTTGAAGGTTTTTAAGCCAGTCTGTGATAGAGTCTGATGGATACTGGAGGAAGGCCAGTGGGGCTTCAGTGTTCAATCTGGTCTGCAGCCTGGAAGACACCTGAGATGGGGATGTGAGGCGGCAAGTGCAGTCCTCCCTGGACCCAAGGCCAAGCCTTAGGCAGTGGATGGGGGCGGGGAGTGGCAGAGAATGTGCTTGCGTCTGCAGGTACACTCCTCCAGTCACTCCAAAGGCCAGAGTGGAGTCAGGCTAAAGCCAGATTCATCTGGTGTCCCAGGTGGATACAGGGGCCTGTACTTGGGGCACTCTACACTCCTTTCTCAGGCATATTAGTAGGGAGCTGGACTGGAAGTGGAGCAGCTGGTAGCACCCACATGGGATGCTGGCACTGCAAGCAGCAGCCCTGACACAAGTTTTTAAAAAGTTAATTTATCAAGCATCAGAAGTGAACTAGGCAATCAGATCTTAGAAGGAGAGTAAGACATGGAGATATACCCTCAACCATGAGCCTCCCCACCAGGGCAGGAGTAGGAATCAGCAGCTGGGCTGGAGGTCAAGAGGTGAGGATTAGGATCCAGACAACAGGCCCAGCTCTGTGGGGGGAGTTCTGTAGTCGGCCCCCTCTACCTGGGGGTACTAGGGCATGGAGAGATGGCTCTTCACATGGCTGACACTGGGTACCGTGCCAAGTGCTTCCCATCCTTTCTTGCCCTAACTTTTACATGCCAGCCACTACGGTCAACATGACCACATCTGCCATCACAGTACTCAACAGTACCTCGCTCTCACGCTGGCAAAGTCCTCCAACAAGGTGTGCCTGGGAAGAGGCACACAGGGCAATTTGGGCAAGTTTCAGCAGTGACTGCAAAGGCTGGATGGCAGCCCAGTAAATGGTCCGCCCTCCCCTCTGCCTTCCAGGTGTCCTAACAGGCTCTTCACGCAATCTGTGTGGAATTGACCTGCTGACCCCATTCCTTCTACAGGAGCTAGAGGTCAGGAGCAGAAGGGGATCTTGTACCCCGCCATTTGGGAACGTGAAAAACCCAAAGGACCCAATCCTGGTGCATGCAAGGAGAGGTCTTTAGCCGTTAATAGTCCGGTCCCCAAGTTTTTTTTTTTTTCCCATGAATGACAAGTAATTTAACCAGCCACTAGCAGGTTTCAAAATCATCTTTAAAAATAATTAACATAATCAGAATTACTCATGTAGCAGGCACACTGCCAAGCACTTCCAGTCCACCTAAAAATGGGCTCTCTTACCTTTGGTGAGTAAGACCCTGCTGCAGCCTGCCCCGGCGGCGGATCGCAGGACTGTGCCCAGGTTTCCAGGATCACGGAGGTTGTCACAAATCAACAGTAAAGGCAGTGAATGGCAAGGCGGACTCTCTGGATACATCATCTTACTATGGTCAGGTTTGGCAAAAATGCCTGAGGAAACACAACAGGAGGTACATCTGTTTGCAATAATCTTTTTTTCACTTATCATTTACTTCTACATTAAGTGCACAGGGAACACACAGATACTTAATTGCTAAAAAGCTTCAAAGTTAGAACCCAATGCAATGGCTCAACTGGCTAATCCTCCATCTTCAAGTGCTGGGATCCCATATGGGCACCCCACCGGTTCATGCCCTAGCTGTTCCACTTCCCTTCTAGCTCCCTGCTTGTGGCCTGGGAAAGCTTTGGGACCCTGGAAGACCCAGAAAAGGCTCCTGGCTTTGGATCAGCTCAGCTCTAGCTACTGTGACCATTTGGAGAGTAAACCAGCAGATAGAAGATCTTTCTGCAAATCTTGCTTTCCAATAAAATAGATACATCTTTTTTTTTTTTAAAGATTTATTTTATTTTTATTGGAAAGGCGGATATACAGAGAGGAGAGACAGAGAGGAAGATCTTCCGTCAGATGATTCACTCCCCAAGTGAGCGTAACAGCTGATGCTATGCCGATCCGAAGCCAGGAGCCTCTTCCTGGTCTCCCACGCAGGTACAGGGTCCCAAAGCCTTGGGCCGTCCTCGACTGCTTTCCCAGGCCACAAGCAGGGAGCTGGATGGGAAGCGGGGCTGCCGGGATTAGAACCGGCACCCATATGGGATCCCGGGCACGCAAGGCAAGGACCTTAACCACTGTGCCACTGCGCCGGGCCCAAAATAGATACATCTTAAAAAAAATTAAAACTACATTAAAATTCTACTAGTGCTGTTTCCTTCCCAATGTTTTTAAGTAGCGCATCATTTCAGAACCTGTTCTGTACATCTGCGTACATGCAGGCGCAGCTGTCCATGTGCTTGTAGATGCACTTTTTATTTGCCTTAGGAAAAATTCACAGGGCTGGCATTGTAGCACTGTAGGTTAAGCTATTACTTGTGGAGCAAGCATCCCATGTGAGAGGCCACTCCACATCCTAACCAGCTTCCTGCTAATGCCTGGGAAGGTACATAATGGCTCAAGTACTCAGGCCCCATCATCCACACGGGCACCCCAGATGGAGTTTCTGGCCTTGGCCTGCCCCAGAGCCAGCTGGCGGCAACCATACTGGGGTGCGAACTAGCAGATGAAATGTTTTCAGTTGGTTCTGCCTTTCAAATGTAAGCCTTTTTTTTTAAAAGAAAATACTTTATGTATCATTCTGTAATCATCTTATTCAATAACATGTCATAAGGAATTTCTTTCAGTTGCTACTGGCACTTTGTGCCATGAAGGTTCTCATGGTTCTTCCTGTACTGGTGGATACGTTTGGGTCTCCTCTTTACTCCACGGTGACTGTCCCTGTGAGGATGCCCTAGGCACACATGCAAGCGATTCTCTCAGACACACAGGTAAGTGACAGGGACACATGGGAATGTTCACTCTCACTGTTAGCAAATGAAGTCAAACTGCCATCCCCACAGTTCCTGAAGTTTTATGGAAGGTATTGAAAAGAAAAAACTAGAAAACAGACTAATGCTAAAATAAAAATAGATTTAGAGCCTATGAGATTTCTGTGGTGTGGATGTGTACATAGCCACAGGCGACATCATGAAGCACGATGCTTACTGCAGAGATGACGACCACGGGCCCTGTGCTAAGCTCTTTCACATATTCACAGTGAAGAAAGACCTGATTTTTTTTTTTAAGATTTATTTTTATTGGAAAGGCAGATATACAGAGAGGAGGAGAGACAGAGAGGAAGATCTCCCGTCCAATGGTTCACTCCCCAAGTAAGAGCTGGAGCTGAGCCAATCTGAAACCAGGAGCTTCTTCTGGGTCTCCCATGCAGGTGCAGGATCCCAAGGCTTTGGGCTGTCCTTGACTGCTTTCTCAGGCCACAGGCAGGGAGCTGGCTGGGAAGTAGAGCTGTCGGGATTAGAACTGGCATCCATATGGGATCCCAGGTGCATTCAAGGCAAGGACTTTAATCGCTAAGCTATGGCACCGAGCCCAAGACCTGATTCCTTTCAAGAATGCTCACAAAGCATTGTATATAAAGATTTCACTCAAGACCTGATTCCTTTCAAGAATGCTCACAAGGCATTGTATATAAAGATTTCACTAACATTGTTATATATAATTAATTCAGTAAATAGGCTACTGCCTGAGGTTAGAAAAGGAATGAAACAGACTTACATTTAAATGAAGCAATGAAGAATTTAGGATTTTTACAAGAGACAATGCAAGTACAAAGACTCATCTACCAGTCAGGGCAGTGGGATGGCACTGGGCACTGGGCTCCTGACTGGCTCAGCTTTGGCCGCTGCAGCCACTTGGGGAGTGAACCAGCAGATGAAAGATCTCTCTTTTTCTCACTCTCCTTTTCTTTGTATATCCGCCTTTCCAACAATAAAATGCTTCTGGAGCAAGGAGGTCAGTGAGAGGTAGCGAATGCCACACTGACGGGAGCCTGTGCCACGATGGGCCAAATCTGTCCACAAATGTGCTCTCAGAAATGGCCTGAAAAACTCCAGGCCTGGGGGATAGTGGTTCCTCCTACAGCAAAACTCTGGCTTCCGCAGCAGCTGAAACTGCTGTGCCCCACAGCGGCCTGAGGACTCTGGGGGGAGGGCGGTCTTAAGACTGGGCAGTTACCCTGAGTTTGGGTCAGGTAACTTGTGTAGCTATGTAACAAAGACTAGACCCCGAGGGACAAACGGTGCGATCACTGACCCATTATTCCTTGCGGGGTTACCAGGTCGGACCAATCCTTGATGTCCTCAAATTTCACCTTGATGAGGCTGACGCCCCGCAGCTTCTCCAGGGGCAGCTCCCTGAGGTACTCCAGGCGGCTGAAGAAGAACACCTGGGGCACCGCGCCCGCCCTGAGCGCGTCCGCGATCAGCCGGCGACCTTCCAGCAGGATCTTGCCTTGCTTTTCCCGAAACGGCCTGGATTTCACGATGGTCATGACACTGCTGTGGGCCGAAACAGAGAGACGTGAGTGACTGCCCACTGCCTCCCCTCAGTTCTGACGGCTTTGCAGGGACGGCCACGCGGGTCCCATCACCTCAGCCTCCTGTCTCCGGCGAAAGCCTTGTCGTAGCGGAGCCCGGTCTCCTCCCACGTGCTGGGCCACCGGGACGCGGACGCCTGCGGCGGCTGCTCCGGCAGCTCGGGGGCCTTGGCTTCCGACGCCGCCGGGCGGGGCGGCTTCCCGGGAGCGCGCTTCCGCTCGACCACCTCTCCGGATGGAAATGTCAGCTTCACCGGGCTCCGCCGCAGCGCCCGCACCCAGCACCGCGCGTCCAGGTCCGCGGGTGGCACCACCGGCCGCAGCGGCGCCCGCAGCCCCAGGAGCACGCCGCCCGCCAGCGCCGCCATCTTGCCGGCGCGGGGGAGTTGCGTCACTGCGGCGCGCCGACGAGCCCCGTGACGTCGTCGGCCGGGTCCGGGCTGGGTGTGTGGGAGGCACGGGTAGTGCGCGGCGCAGAAGGCGGGCGGCGGCAGTCATGGCATCCCGGCGGGCTCTGCATTTCGTTTTCAAAGTGGGAAACCGCTTCGAGACAGCGCGTTTCTATCGCGAGGTCCTGGGGATGAAGGTGCAGGCCGCGGGCTGGAGGGGGCGGCTGAGGCGGCGGCGAGTGGCGGGTGGGTGGAGGGGTGGCTTGCAGCTGCGCCGGGAGAGGGGGTGACCCGACTCGGGCCCAGGGGCTTCGCTGTGGGCGCTGCAAGGGTGTCCAACTTCGCTCGGGCTGTGTGATTTCGGGTTAAAATGGGTTAAGGCTGACACTCGTGAACTGCTGGTTACGGGCCCATGAGCATCGTAGTTCGTGCGCAAATATTTGTCAAGATACTGCCAGCGAGGAACTTGCAGTCTAGTGGGAAAGAAGTAGAGAGAATGCACTCTTGGGGGGAGCAGTAGCTCGGGCTCTCCCTGATTGGAGCCTTCCCGTATCAGAATGTTCAAGTTCTGCTCCTAACGGGGCTAATTTGGGGGGGATCGCAGTGGAATACGCAGTCTGCAAGTCCTTTCACCAGCGCAGCTGGAAAAGTGAGAGCAGAACACAGTTTGTAACGCTGGTCCTGAGGGCAGCCTCCTGCCAGCCCTGGGCAGGGGTCCTGCCACTCTCCTTTAGCTGGAAAGCGAAGGTGGACGTTACCAGAGAGTGCTTGATAAGCTGGCATAGGGGCCACCCTCAGGACCGCTGTAGAGGAGCAGGAGTGCTTGTGGAAGTAGGGGCCACGCAGACGAGGAGGGCTGCTAGAAGGATTCTGTGACTCCACCGGTCATTTTTTCCCCTACCTGCTGTGTTGGGGAGTTCAAGGTTAGGCTTTAGCAATGCCGCTGTAGGTGAGACTCACATTTGCCCTCAGCTAGAACTCCTGGCCTGGGTCAGGTTGGGGTGGACATTGGCACTTTACCTAGTCAAGACGCTTCTAGAAAGCAGAGTTGGATAAGTGGCAGCAGAAAGCCACAGGGCTCTTTATTGGATTTCCTCCTCGAGCCCAGAGTGATGGCAAGGATTTTATGGGACAGATGTTTAGGATTTAACGCATGTATGTGTTATGGACTGTTTAAAAAAATAGGACACCCTTTCCAACTTGTGTGATTAGGAAATGGTCAGGTGGGCCTCTACAAAGAGATGAGAGGGGGAGCAGTTGCGTAGCCTGTGGGTTAAGACACCCTCTTTGCACATCGGAGTGCCAGGGTGTCATTACCAGCTTCCCGCCAGGGCAGCCCCTGGGATGCAGCAGTGATGGCTGAAGCAGCTGGGTTTCTGCGAGCTATGTAGGAGCCCTTGATTGAGCTCCTGGCTCTGGCCCCAGCCCTGTAAGGAGTGGACCTGTAGGCGGAAGATTCTCTCTCTGTCTTTGAAAAGAATAATAACTTATTTTAAAGGTTGATAAATTTGTGGAATTTTTTTTTTAATTTGGTTTTTTTTTTTTTAATTATTATTTTCTTATTGGAAAGGCGGATATACAGAGAGGAGGAGAGACAGAGAGGAAGATCTTCCGTCCGATGATTCAATTCCCAAGTGAGCGCAACAGCCGATGCTATGCCGATCCAAAGCCAGGAGCCTCTTCCAGGTCTCCCACACAGGTGCAGGGTCCCAAAGCTTTGGGCTGTCCTCGACTGCTTTCCCGGGCCACAGGCAGGGAGCTGGAAGGGAAGCGGGGCTGCCGGGATTAGAACTGGCGCCCATATGGGATCCCGGGCGTGCAAGGCGAGGACCTTTAACCACTTGCGCCACCGTGCCGGGCCCTAAATTTGTGGAATTTATGTATTCGAAAGGCAGAAGGACAGAGAGTGAGGGAAGGGAGAGAAGGATCTTCTGTGTGCTAGGTCATTCCCCAGATGCCTCGGCCAGGACTAAGCCAGGAGCCAGGAGGTCCATCACAGTCTTCCACATGGGTGGCACTGCCTCCCCAGGTGTCTTAATAGAAAACAAACTTGAAAGCAGCGTCACCAAGATCCAGACCAGCACTTTGCTAGGACATGCCTGCCTGCACCACCACGTCAACCTCACATTCTTTTCTTTCTTTTTTTGATGAAAGGGAGGAGTTACACTAGGAATATTGAGAAGGTGATGCAAGCAGAGGGTGTGTTTGGGCCACCCTGGCAACGTCTGTGCCTTCAGTGAGGGCTGCGATGAGGGAGCTGTATCAGGGCGAGGTTGGATCTGCCCCTGATAGCATCTCCAAGGCTGCGCTCAGGAACTTGGACTTCAGGCGGCAGGGAGGAGGGAGCTTGCTCAACAACCTCGAACAGAGCGAGGATGTATCAAGAACTGTGCTTCAGAGACAGTCATAGAAGGACCTCAGTAAGAGTCCTCCAGACAAGGGTTGGGAGTCTGACCCACAGCAGCAGCCATGGTCAGCACTGAGAACTGAAGCTAGGATGTCAGGTGCGTGCTATGTGGGTGAAGTTCTGTGTCGGGTGCTGTGACTGGCTCTCTGCTGTCACGGTGCCCCAGAGACCAAGGTTCCACTCTTGAGCAGCACACACTTGCAGTGACAGTGTGAGGCTGGGCCACACTTGCCTGCCGTGCAGCCCAGTGCTGCTCTCCAGCCTCAGGTGCTTACACAACCTGCTGGGGCAGCCTGGCCTTGTGTATCCCAGGGTCTGTGCTGATGGGAAGCCGTAGGCAGGAATCAAACCCAGGCACTCTGATGTAAAATGGGACGCACCTAGGCTAAACAACCCAGGAAAAGCATGAAGCCCCTTTCCCTGTCTTTCCTTCTCACTTTTCCTTCTTGGATAAATAAAGCCTGCAAGTGTAATGAGTGCATTTTGACCTTTTAGTTTGAGCTGCCAGCTGCCTCACTAGTAGCACTTCATCCCTTGTTCTCACTCCCTTGCCAGGTGCTGCGGCATGAGGAATTTGAAGAAGGCTGCAAAGCTTCCTGTAATGGGTATGTGTTGGGATTCAATGAATCTGAGTGAGACGCCAAAGTGAGTGAGATGATTTTATTGTCTAGTCCAAGGGGCAACCTCTTGGCATAAGCAAGAAGCGCCCCAAGTGAAATAACCGTGGGGTTTTTAGAGTAAAAAAATCAAAAAGCTACGTTGACACTGAGCAAGTACATGATTAGGGGCTAGCAGTGACACAAAACAGAAAGCATGCGACAGGAATTTACAGCGTATAGATTGGGGGTCCTGATCATATCACTTCAACGCAGACAGTAATTAAACAGCATGCCTCGAAGGGAGCTGTCTTTCCCACAAATCCAGTCTCCTGCCTGCCTCCTGGTGTCTCAGGAAGCAGGAGCTTTGCTCATAACTGGATGCAAGGGTCTCTTTGGAGATTCCAGACTTCCAGGAGAACAGTCACCTTTACGATTAACCCTTTCAGGTATGTCCCCTGTGTGTTACAATCACCTCCAGGCTTGAGTTCCCCAGGAAGCATGGGCAGGTTCTCCCAAGTGAGTGAAGGACAGTGGTGTAAACTCAACAGGTAACAGATTAGCAAAGCCACTCCACAGCCACCGGTCCCTACTGTTTCTGCACAGCCCCACACAATGTGTTGGACAAACCAAGCAGTCTGCTGGCGCTCTGAATACAGCTGGGGATCCTAGCCAGTAGAGCGATCTGGAGTTAGGGTTAGATCCCCACAGGTCAAGGGCTGAGTCCCGTCAGACTGCCCCTAATGTACACGCCAGTCATAAACCCAAGCCCCTGGGATTCCTGATTGACCGGTCTGAACCAAAGGCTCCCAGATCCCCTCCTCGGGTGTGGTCATTCGCTGAAATGGCTCACAGAAAATGAAGGAATACTGTACCGCATTTATTGGTTTGTGAAAAAGGATACAACTCGGGAGCCGCCAGACAGCAGAGAGGCATACAACAAGGCTGGTGGAGGCAGTATAAAGGTGCTGGGCACACCCCTCCCCGCCCCATCCTGGGTCAGCAGCCCAGAAACTCAGGAGTTGATATAGAGCAGGCGGGAGCCAGTGCCTGCACCCTACTTGCTGAAAGTGCCTGAGGCTGCTGTTTGCAGTTCTCTGCCCAGTTGGTCTTCCCAGTCCTGAGTTGTCCTAGCGACTCAGTCCAGCTCCTGTTCCTTGGGAGAAACTCAGATGTTCTGTAAGGGCCCTGACTAACAAAGGACACTCCTGTCCCTCAGGGAACTGCCAAGATGTTTGAAGCTCTGTGACAGGAGTCAGGGACAGAGAGGAAATATATTTTACATCATACTATAAACAAAAGCATGCTCTAAATGAGCAATGAGGAGTCCAGGAGCCAGGGCGAGTTGGGCAATTCCAAGTTCTGTTGGGAATTACAAACTTATCGATTGATACACCAGGAAATAAGCTAAAGTCAAGCTAGAAAACTAGGGGTTTCTGTTCTCCCCTTTGAGGTAGATAATGTTTCCCACAGGCAAGTACCAGGCAGGTGATCTTTAGCGCTTGCAGGTGCTCAGTCTGTAGGCCCTTAGCAGACCCCCTCTGAAACATGTTCCCTGTTCTTCCTGGGGCGAGGCTGAGGGAAATTTTACTGGTGGTCATTTGGTTCATTTTCTTTGACCCCTCTAGGCCTTATGATGGGAAATGGAGTAAAACTATGGTGGGATTTGGAGCCGAGGATGATCATTTTGTTGCCGAGCTGACTTACAATTATGGCATTGGCCACTACAAGCTTGGCAATGACTTCATGGTAAATATTTTGTTCCAACTACTTTTTGGCGGAGGCAGATGGCTGGTTTTAATATTAAATCAGGGAGGGGGGGAGGTGTGTGCCAGTGAGAAAGTGATGGCGTGAGCGCAGATTTGTAGAACTGTGGAGTTTTCCATGTTGATCCCTGAGGGAAGCAGGCCTGGTAGGTTCAGAAAAATGCAGGAAGCCTGAATGGCCAAAATAGAGTGGCCAGGAAAGTGGTGGGAGATGGACGGCCATGATTAGTCATCCGTGAAAGAAGTAAAAAACCCATGGGGGTTTTTGAGCAGAGAAAAAAGCAAAGTCTGTTTTCTTGAGAATAAACCGGAGGCTGTGCTTTGTTTTGTTTTGTTTATTTAATTTTTAAGCATTATTTTATTTAAAAGATGGAATGAAGCAGATCTTTTAAAAAAAATTTTTTTTTAATTTGAAAGGCAGAGCTAAACAGAGAGAGGGATAATGAGAAAGAGATCCTCCACCCACTTGTTTATTCTGAAAATGGTGGCAATGGCCCCGGCTGGACCAGGCGGAAGCTAAGAGCCTGGAGTTTGATCTGGGTTTCCTGTGTGCAACACTTGGGTCATCTTCCACCACTTTCCCTGGCACATTAGCAGGGAGCTGTGCCAGACCAAAGCCAGGAGCCTGAGATTCTGTCCGAGTCTCCTACATGGGCCTCGCCCACTCAGGCCATCTGCTGCTTCCCAGGTGCATTAGCAGGGAGCTGGGATGGAAGTGGGGCATTCAGGACTCAAACGAGTGTTCCCAAATGAGATGTCAGCATTACAGACACTGGCCTAATGTGCTGCACCACAACACCAGCCCTGTAAAATGTATTCCAACCACAGAATGGATGATGGATGGGCCAGGCTGAGAGAGTCTGTTAAAGTAATCCGGGCTAGAAATGACTCTGTTCTTGTCAGAAGGCCTAAGTGTACATTATTGGGTACTTTGATTAAAGTGTGCTTTGAGAGTTTAAAATTTTTGACTTAGAAAAATAAATATAAAAACAAGCAGTTAGCTAGCTGGTAGATCAAAGAAAGAACAAGATTTCTCTGGATCAGGCTTTAAAGAGGTTGTATATGGGGTTAGATGGGCATCTGGATGCCTGTCTCGTAGCTGATGGAGGACTTAGGCTCTGTGGGAGAAAGCACCCAGGACCCACTGTGCAGTCCTAGGAAGACACACTGGTGAGGCCAAGGAAAGCGCGGTGGTCTGCCCAAGGGCAGCAGGGTTTGGGCTTGTTGGAGAAGAGATCTGCTGTGATTATGTACTTGCATGGCCTTGTTTTTGCTAGGGTATCACAGTGGCTTCTAGCCAGGCCATCAGCAAGGCCAGGGAGCTGGAGTGGCCGCTCACGGAAGTCACAGAAGGTGTTTTTGAAACCGAGGCCCCAGGAGGATATAAATTCTACCTGCAGAAACACAATGGGCCTCAGTCAGGTAATTATCTCTGCATAAATGCAAGCTTCTGTCTAAAGACGTCTAGTGGAGGGAGAGAGGGTGCGAGCTTGCGTGCTCGTGTGGAATCTTTGGTGACATGACAGGCTTTTCCCAAGTGAATGCTTTCACTGTTGTTCGAAATGATATCCCCTTGGACCTGCAGAGCGCTGGGGCAGGCATTTGAGCCAGTGGATGACAGGGTGTATTCTGTATTGGAGTCCTGGGTTCAGCTCTGACTCCAATTGCTTATGCTGATGTGCACCCTGGTAGGCAGTGATAACTGCCGAAGTACTTGGGTCCCTCCATCCAGGTGGGGGACCTAGATGGAGTTCGCAGCTTTCAGTTTTGGCCAGGCTAACTGCTGCATTCCTAACTGCTGCTGGCATTTGTAGAGTGGACCAGTAGATTGAGCAGCTCAACAGTGGTGTTGAGTGCCCAGTTTCTGTTCTGTCTGCTCCACCTGGCACCATTCCCTCCGTGGTGGAAGTAGGGCTGCCAGTAGTGACTGGAATGCGTGTTCCCACACTCAACAGCTGGTGGGGGAAGAGGCAGGTCCTTTGTGGCTTTTTTTTTTTGGTTAAAATTTGTTTATTTTGAGTTACTGAGAGAGAGGGACCTGCTTGGGTGAGGTCTGACAGCCACGGGGGCCTTCCAGGTCCTGAAAATTGACATTTTTAAAATTGTTGATGCATTCTGCAGGTTATTGCTCAGAAATGCAGGAATTTGCATTTATATTATTGTGTGATGGTGATTTTGGGGGGATCTTAGAATATACATTAGCAAAGCGAGCAGTTTTCTGACTTTTTAACTATTTGCCTCTTAGATAGCAAAGTACTATGTTTACTCTCCAGTTTCTTGGATTAGCTAGGAGCTTGTATGTTTTTCCTACCTTCGTCATCCATTCTGATCCCTTCCTCGGTGGGATACTGTCTTGTACATTTTGCTTGTTTTTTTTTTTTTTCTCTGATGTTCATCTTTTTTTCCCATTAATGTCTGAAAGTGACCATATTAAGGATTTTGTTACAAAAAGTAACTGTTACAGATTTATTTTCTTATTTTGTTTAATTTTTATTCTAATTCTCTTCTTTTGGTTGTTTCTGAGTTTTCTGTTTGGTTTAATTAGCCTGATAGAGCCTAACAGCTTTTTCCTTCTGGCTTTTTTTTTTCTCTTGGTGGTATCAAGAGTAAAGAAAACTCTTTCTCTACCTCCAAGTTGTAGAAATAATTATCTGTATCTAGTATTTTCATAGTTTTTCTTTCTTTTTTTTTTCTTAAGATTTATTTATTTGGGGTACAGTGGCACAGTAGTTTAAGCTGCCATCTGCAGCACTGGCATCCCATTTGGACACCAGTTCAACTCCTATTACACTTCTCTGCCAACTCCCTGCTTATGTGTCCTGGGAAAGCAGTGCAAGATGGGTAGACCAAGTTAGAGGAAGAGACAGGGCAAAAGCCAGGAGGTATGAGGAGGTTCCTCCAGGTCTCCTATGTGGGTACAAAGACCTAAGGCCTGGATCATCTTCCCCTATTTCCCAGGCGAATTAACAAGCAGCTGGATTGGAAGTGAAGCAGCCAGGACTCAAATAGGCGCCCACATGGGATGCTTGCAACTCTGGCAATGGATTTACATACTGTACCACATCAGCCCTGATTTTGTGCTTTAAGCTGCATCCTTTGACCTGTCAGGAATGTGTGTTTTTTTTTTTTTAAGATTTATTTTCTTTTCATTACAAAGTCAGATATACAGAGAGGAGGAGAGAGAGAGGAAGATCTTCCGTCCGATGATTCACTCCCCAAGTGAGCACAACGGCCGGTGCTGTGCCAATCCAAAGGAAGGCGTCAGGAACCTCCTCCAGGTCTCCCACACGAGTGCAGGGTCCCAAGACCTTGGGCCGTCCTCCACTGCTTTCCCAGGCCACAGGCAGGGAGCTGGATAGGAAGTGGAGCTGCCGGGATTAGAACCGGCACCCATATGGGATCCTGGCGCATTCAAGGCAAGGACGTTAGCTGCTAGGCCATGGCGCCGGGCCCGGGAATGTGTTTTGCCATTTAGTTCAAACGTGCTGTTTTTTCCTGCCAAATGATAAGCTGGTTGTTTTAGTGCCTTTTGCATAATGATTCCTTTCTTCCCAACTCTCACTATAAACTGCCTTTTGATTTTTGCTTGGGCCCATTTGCCCTCCTACTCTGGTGTCCTACACTGACTGTGTAAACCTGCCTTGTTCTTACCCTGCAGATTCTGTAGTGAAAGTAACTCTAGCTGTGTCTAACCTTCAGAAGTCCTTGAACTACTGGTCTAGTCTCCTGGGAATGAAAATTTATGAAAAGGATGAAGCGAAGCAAAGGGCCTTGCTGGGCTATGCAGATAACCAGGTAAGCAACCTTAAAGAGAAATGACAAACGTGTTACTTTGAACTTGGCTTGTAAATGAGGTGAACCTGAAGATTGCTTCTATAGTTTCTTCACAGTGATTATCAATATTTATACAGATAAACAGAAACAAGAAAAGGAAAACTGGTGATAACCTCCCCAGTCAGAGTCTGCCTCTGTTTACGCTTGGAAGATAATCCTTTCAGAGCTACCGGTGTGTAGTCAGAAGAGATGCAGACAGGATTTAACGTATGATTGATTTATTTAGTTTTCAATAATTCGAGCGGGAGCGTTTAGCTTCTGGTCCTCTCACTGAATTCCTGCCGTGACCAGGGCTGGGCCGGGCTGGGCGCCAGGAAGTCGATCCATTCTTCCCAGACGGGTGGCAGAAACCCAGTTACTTGAGCCATCACCTGCTGTTTCCCAGAGTCCACATTATCGGGAAGCTGGAGTCATTAGTGGAGGCGGGTGACAGAGCCAGGCACTCCTCTCAGACATGTGCATCTCAGCTACTGGGCCAAATGTCTGCCCGTGTCTGTTCTTTGTCTAGATAACTTAGCACTGGAGTATGATTTTGTCCTTGTACTTTGCTCCCACAGTTCTCCTAGGAACGATTTTACAAACGAACTTGCACATACACACATACACACACACAGGCACACGTACAAGGTTATCTGTTGCACCATTGTTTGAAACAGTGAAAGACAAGAACCCCAGTGTCTTGTGGCTTACAGGAATGTCTTACTAATTTATTGTCCAGTCTTAGAGGAAGCTGTGAAAAAAACTGGGGCTTCTTTATGTATCAATAACATTAAGTAGAAAAGCATGGAACAGAGTAGGTTGTGAATTGTGCTAGCGTTTGTATTCCACTAAAAAGACGCATGTATGCGCTGGGTGTCCAGGTACACAGGACCTGGCATCTACAGCAGGGGAGGGGAGAGGCTTGGCTTCACTGTATCCCTTTAGTGCTGACTGAAGTTGTTGTCATGTGTACGTACAACCTGTTTCAAAGTCACCCCACTCTCTTTTCAGTGTAAGCTGGAGCTGCAGGGCATCAAGGGTGCAGTTGATCATGCAGCAGCTTTTGGAAGAATTGCCTTTTCTTGCCCCAAAAGCGAGGTAATGTTTGGCAGCACGTCTTGGGTTTCAACTCTGTGACTGGCTCCTTCAACCCTGCGTGCAGCTGGGCCCTTCTTTGTTCTCACTGTAATGGAGGCTGTCGTGTCAAGTTGATTCGAGCATCTCTGGTAGTGGTAGTGTATGGAGACCCTGGATGTGACCTCTTGCTCCCATTGCCTTGTGTTGGTCCCCCAGTTACCTGAATTAGAAGAGCTGATGAAACGCGAGAAGCAGACGATCCTGACTCCCCTGGTGAGCCTGGACACTCCCGGGAAAGCCACAGTGCACGTGGTCATCCTGGCTGACCCTGTGAGTAATTCTCAGAAACATGACACCTGTGCCAGGGCTTTCACTGAGATGTCTCTCTGACAAATCTCTTTCCTCTTCTTTGATGCAGGATGGACATGAAATTTGTTTTGTTGGGGATGAAGCCTTTCGAGAACTTTCTAAGGTGGATCCTAAGGGAAGCAAGTTGTTGGATGAGGTGAGTCTCATTGCTTGGTTTGTGTTACTGTAGCGGCTTCTGCAGGGGCAGCACTGAATGTAGAGATTCTTTTGTTATCAGGGCCTGTGTCTTCATTGCTGCTTCCATGTCCTGTTGTCTGGACTCGGGGAGTGTGGCTTCCCACTGCCTCAGGGGACCGCTGCTCCTGTCCCTGTCACTGTTCTGCTCGCTGAATGGAAATGCCTGGTTACCAAGCCTTCCTTCGCTCCTTCAGTCACCCCTTCCCCATCCTACCACATTCCTCTTTCCCCTCCTAGTGAGTTATTCTTATCAGCACAGCAAGGAGCTTTTTACTGATCCTCTCTCCTTTTTCCAGATTTCTTTTTTTTTTTTAATGAATAATCTTTTTTTTTTTGGAAAGTCAGAGACAGAGACTAGGAGAGACAGAGAGAAAGATCTGTCCACTGATTCACTCCCCAAGTGGCTACAACAGCCAGAGCTAAGCTGATCTGAAGCCAGAAGCCTCTGGCCTTCCATATGGGTGTAGTGTCCCAAGGCCTTAGGCCGTCCTCGACTGCTTCCCCAGGCCACAAGCAGGGAGCTGGATGGCAAGCGGGGCCGCTGGGACAAGAGCCGGCACTATGTGGGATCCTGGCGTGTTCAAGGTGAGGACTTTAGCCGTTAGGCTACCGCGCCAGGTCCTCTCCAGATTTCTTCATAGCTAGATTTGCTTATTTGAAATGCAAAGACAGAGCTCCCATTCGCTGACTCACAGCCCAAATGCCTGCAACATCTGGGGCGGAAGCGGACTGAAGCCAACGGTCTGGAACAACTACATGGATGGCAGGAATCCAGCTGCCTCCCAGGGTGCACATTAGCAGGAATTTGAAGTTGGGAGCAGAGCTGGGACTCGAAACCCAGCACCCTGATGTGGCATTTTTGCTATTCTGCCTAACGCATGCCCAGATGTCTTTTATTGCTTTTGTTAATTAAAACAAACAAACAAAGATTTACTTATTAGGGTTCAGCACAATGGCTAAATCCTCACCTTGCAAGCACCAGAATCCCATATGGGCACCAGGTGGTGTCCTGAATGTTCTGCTTCCCATCCAGCTCCCTGCTTGTGGCCTGGGAAAGCAGTAGAGGATGTCACAAAGCCTTGGGATCCTGCATCTGCGTGGGAGACTTAGGAAGGCTCCTGGCTCCTGGCTTTGAATTGGCTCAGCTCTGGCCATTGCAGTTATCTGGGGAGTGAACCAGTGGACAGAATATCTGTCTCTCTTCCTCTCTGTAAATCTGATCTGCCTTTCTAATAAAATAAAAAATCTTTTTAAAAATAATTTGGAAAAAAGGTTTACTTATTTATTTGACAGGTAGAGCTCCAGAGGAAGAGATAGAGATCTTCTATGCTCTGATTCATTTATGCCCTAAATGACCACAGCAGTCAGAGCTGGTCTGATCTGAAGCTGAGACCCAGAAGCTTTTTCCAAATCTCCAACTTGGGTGCAGGGTTCCAAGGCCTTGACCCATCTCCCATTGCTTTCCCAGGTGCATTGGTTAACAGGGAGCTGAATGGGAAGTGGAGCAGCCAGGACTAGAACTGGCACCCCTACGGGATAACAGCTTTACCCCTACGCCATAGCACCAGGCCCCAGGTGGCTTTTTTAAACTATGTGTCTACACCATTTCTACTTCTCGTCTTCCATTTGCACATCTGTATTCTACGTTGTCTTTCATCACTCAGTGAAGTGCTCGAGCTCACTCATCGCCGACTGCCATCTTGTCAAATCCAGCAGCAACTATCATGTTATAAACAGCATTCCAGGCAGTCATTTTTTAATCCCAGCTCCTGGTACAGGGTGGGGGGCGTCTGGCCTTACCAAGGCAACCCGCAGGTAGGACTGGAAATTCAATAAATCTATAGCAGTCTAACTAAGTTGATAATTATGCTGATAAATCAAGTTGATAATTAAGTTGATAAATAAGCCTAATTAAGTTTATAGTTTTGTGTGGCCTACAAATGATGTTATAAATATCTTAATGGCCCTTGGCAGTAAAGCGGTTCCCCACCCCTGTACCTAGCAAATACTAGGTGTGTAATAGATAATCTGCCTTCTGTTTAATGATTCAAGGAATGAATCAGAACTGTCCCAGTTTTATCACTTAATAGCTACGTGACTGACTTTAAGCAGGTAAACTCTAAACTTCAGCCTCTTTATCTAAAACTTTGAGACAGTAAGAGTGTCCACCCTGTGGGATTATTGTGTAGTTTATATAGAAAGCTTGCCAAACTGCTGATGTAATAGCAGGCATCGATTAGTGTTAATTAAAACAGGAAATGTGTAGAACATATACATACATAAACATAATGTTATCGCGAAGGGAAGCGGAGTCTGAGCAGTCAGTCAGTCGGCAGATCTGCTCTCTTGCCCTTCTACACCAATGACCAGCTTCTGCTTGCCCTGAGCTCCCCTCATCCCTGTCTGCTTCCCTGCGGCATCAGGCTCCCCGTCCGTCCCCTGCTGGCCCCAGAGCAGCTTGTCCCCGCAGTCCCACCTTGCCTCTGAGTCTACATTCTTCTCCGAAGAGAGGATACCTACCACTCGGGCGACCTCTACTCAGAACTCCCCCGTCAGCTGTTCTCTGTCCAGCTCCTCTCTCCCTCCTAACCCATCTGTGGCCCCAGAAAAGTGTCTGTCGCTGATGAGGAGGCATTTTTCCGTGTTTTGTCCTGTCAGTCCTGCCCAACACAGTGTACACCATGGCTTCAAGGCAGAAAGTTCTCTTGTGCCCATTTCCAGATAGTTCGCACCCTAAGCCCCAGAGGCAGCTGCTGCTCTCTTTCCGTCACTACAGATTAGTTTTGGTTGCTCTTGGACTTCATACAAATAGTCATTCTGTAGGTACTTTTGTGTCTGGTTCCAGCAAACATTTTTGAGATTTTTCCATGTAACTGCATATTTTATAGTTTGTTCTTTTTTTATTATTGAGTGTCCTTTAACTTTGTAAACATAACAGTTTATCCATTCTTCTGAGGTTGGACACAGGTTGTTTCCATATTTTTCTCTATTATAAGGCAGGCAGCTGTGACTATTTTTGTCTGATCTTGTAGATGTCTTTCTTGTCTCTTACATGAATGTAAATAAACTTACAATATCACACTTAAATATCATCCTAGAGTAAACGTGTAGATATTTCTCCTGGGTACAAACCTAGGAGTAGAATTGCTTTTTCCTTATAAGACATTGCCAAACAGCACAAGGAGCTGCTGAAGGTGCTGGCAGGGCAGGTCCTGCTGCTAGATGTCTGAGGCCATCTCTTATGTACCACCCTGTGGCCATTGTGGCTGAGTAGGTACTGCTGGGTGACTGAGAGTGGTTGCAGTTTCCACAGAAACAAGTGAGGGAACCTGGCTTTTCTCCACAAACAAACAAACGTTAGCCCCTCCTGTGGGGCCACTGCCAGTTCCAGGCCCACAGCTGTGTTGTACTGCCCACTAGACCAAGCAAGGACAGCTTGACCTGGAGCAGGTGAAGGTTCCCAGTGGAATCCTGCTTCCCTAAGATAAGAAAACAGATGGTGGGTCTGGAGGCGTCTGAAGCCTGTGGGAAAGTTTGCCTACCTGGGCCAACAGCCATGAGCTGTTCTGACCACTCAGCTCTCAATGATGAATGCATTCTCACTGTGTCTTTGCTGTCTTTTCTGGAATGCCCCTTATTTGAGTTCATTTTTTCAAGGCCCTTTCAGATCTAGTTTTTTTTTGTTGTTTCTTTGTTTTTGTTTTGTGTTTTTAAAGATTTGTTTTGTACCAGAAAGGCAGATTAGCAGAGAGGAGGTGAGGAGTCTTCCATATGCTGGTCCACTCCCCAGATGGCCACAGCAGCTGGAGCTGAGCCAATTCAAAGCGAGGAGCCTCTTGTGAGCCATCCTCCGATACTTTCCCAGGCCACAAGCAGTAGCTGGAAGGGAAGTGGAGCCGTTGGGACATGTACTAGCACCCATATGGGATGCCAGCACTTGAAAGTGCAGGATCAGCCTGTTCACCCAAGACGCTGGCCCCGGATCTAGTTTTTTGTTTTTTTTTTTTTTTTTTAAGTGATTAGTATTTCAGTATTTGCCTTGCCAGTTTTGTTTGTTTTTTCAGATATATTTAATTTTTTTTGGAACTCAGATTTTTATCAAGAGAAGAGAAAGATCTTCCATCTGTTGGTTCACTTCTCAAGTGGCCACAATGGCCAGAGCTGAGCCAATCCAAAGCCAGAAGCTTCTTCCAGGTCTCCCATGTGGGTACAGGGTCCCAAGGCTTTGGACCATTCCTCTACTGTTTTCTAGACCACAAGCAGGGAGCTGGAAGGGAAATGGAGCAGCCAAGATATGAACCAGTGCATGCAAGGCAAGGACTTTAGCTCCTAGGTTTCTGTGCCAGGCCCAAATTTTTGTTTTTTTCCAAGATTTATTTTTATTGGAAAGGCAGATTTACAGAGAGAAGGAGATACAGAGAGAAAGATATCTCTGCTGGTTCATTTCCCAGGTAGCTGCAACAGCTGAAGCTGAGCTTATCCAAAGTCAGGAGCTTCTTCCTGGTCTCCCATGCAAGTATAGAGTCCCAAATATGGGGATCATCCTCCACTGCTTTTCCAGGCCACAGGCAGGGAGCTGTATGGGAAGTGGAGCTCCTGCAACACGTACTGGCACTCATATGGGTGCTTCAAAGTGGAGGATCAGCTTGTTCAGCCATGGTGCTGGCCCCAGGTCTGGTTTTCTTGTGATTATAGTTTCCAGTCTGTGCCTTGCCAATTTTCTTACTGCAGTGTTATGAAGAGCACGGACCTACTTTGGTTTGGTTAAGTGCAGTTAAGTGAGTCCACACCTGTGTCATACGCAGTGAACTTCTAGAATTACCTGGTAACTGGTGAACATTTCAGACCCAGCCTGTCTTTTAAAGTACCGCTGATTCATTCTGCTTCTACTATCCAGGCGGTTCTTTATGAAGCATCTCTTAGAATGACAAGTTTGTATGTGCCTTGTACACGTTTTGTCATCTCTGCCACACTGAGCCAGGCTGGTAAGCATCCCTCTTGCAGAAGAGGAGCCTGAGGCTCGGCGAGAGTCAGCCATTTACTGGGCAGCTATCTCTATTTCACAGGCAAAACTTTCGCGCCACTTGTCGTCTTTCCTGAATACCCTGCTCCCTGCCCTGGACAGCAGCCTCTGGCTGATACTCCAGTTGTCCCAGCTAGACTCCTCCAAACCAGTTTTGTTGTTGTGAGCATTTGAGATGTTCTTAACAATGATTTTAGATTTATTAGAACCACTTTTGACTGTTGCTTTCCTCACCCCTCAAGTCCTTTGTGAATCACCAAAGCTGTGCATTCTGTCTCGGCCATGTCTTACTAAGGCCTTCATCATCATCATCATCTGTAATACTACAAAAGCCTCCTGCTCCCTCCTCTTCATTCCCCGTTCCTGCTGCTAGCAGTTATTTCCTAACACAGAAATAGAGGAGCTGTTGGAAGTGCGTCATCTTCCGCCGGTCAAGGTCGCAGATACGTTCCAAGCTCGCTAGCAGAGCATGAGGTAGCCGGTCTTCCCTGCCCTGAGCTCTCCACCCATCTGTTTCAGTTCTCTGAGTTGTTTGCATGAACCCAGGATACATTGTCTTGCCTCTACCTGAAGGGTTTCTTTCTTTTCGTCCCTCTTCTTCAACTTACCACCCCAAACTCAGGATTTCTTGGGTCCCCAACACCAGGTAGCTGCTCTCTCTCCCCTCATTTTTCATGCCTCTTAAAGGACAGAACCTTATGTACATTTGTGAGATTTTTTTCTTCTTAAGCATATTCTTGATTTTTAAATGTTTAAGTATCATCAAAATAATAAATCACAGTATGCTCTCCAAGTCCTGCTGACCAAGCCAGCCACATTCAGCTTTGCTATTTATCAGTCTAAAAAGAGGGAAAAACTGGGGCCTGGAGCGGTAGCCTAGCGGCTGGAGTCCCCATCTTGCATACTCAGAGATCCCATATGGGCGCCAGTTCTAATCCTGGTGGCCCCACTTCCCAGCCAACTCCCTGCTTGTGGCCTGGGAAAGCAGTCGAGGACGGCCCAAAGCCTTGGGACCCTGCACCCGTGTGGGAGACCTGGAAGAAGCTCCTGGCTCTTGGCTTTGGATCGGCTCTGCTCCAGCCATTGTGGCAGCTTAGGGAGTGAATCATCGGATAGAAGATCTTCCTCTCTCTCTCTCCTCCTCTCTGTATATCTGACTTTCCAATAAAAATAAATCTTTTTTTTTTTTAAAAAAAGAGGGAAAAACTGAAGACCGATGCTGTTGCTTAACTGATTAATACTCCACTTTGTGGTGCCAGCATCCCATATAGGTGCCAGTTTTTGTCTGGAAGTAGCTGCTCCACTTCCTATCCAGCCCTTTGCTTATGGCCTGGGAAAGCAGAGCAGGATGGTCCATAGCCTTGTAATCCTGAGCCTACATAAGGGAACCAGAAGAGGCTCATGGCTCTGGGTCTGCTCAGCTTCAGCCATTGTTGCCATCTATGGAGTAAACCAGTGAATGAAATATTTTCTAGAGTGAGTTAGCAGGTAGATTTTTCTCTGTCCTTCTCTCTGTAGATCTGCTTTTGCGATAAATAAATCTCAAAAAAAAAAAAAAAAAGAGAGAGAGAAACTATAGTTAGGTGAAGATACAGATAGAAATAAATTCCCTGCTTTTCAGGCGCAGCCATCATCTTATGACTCCCTGCAGGGAAGCTGAGTGTTTCCTTACTGTTGCCAGTCAGATGCTCCTTTGCCTTTAGTCCGATCTCAGTTCATACATGTCTCTGCAGATGCCTTTAACACCCCCTTGTTTCCATATCCGAATCCTCGGCTGTTCCCTGCGCCCCTCCAAGCCTTAGACCATGTTGCCACTGCCCTGCCACCCCTCCCGACTCCAGTGCAGCACCAAACTCCAAGTGAAAGCCATTGCTTTTGTGAAGATACTCTGATGCTTGCCTTTTGACTGAATAAGTGAATGTCTTATCGGACAGCTAAAAGGACTCTCAGAAACAGAACCTTGAATGTAGAGGCTCAAAGCTCGCCAAATGGAAGCAGCATCCGTGAATTCTCACTGGGCTTTTGCAAAGAGGTGCAAGCAGAGCAGGTGGTGCTACATCCTCGAGTGACGCACTCTGCAGGTTTGGGTCTTACCAGACAGGGTCTCGGGAACTCTAATGAGTCTTGAGTCAGTCAGATGCTAAGTGACAGTACTCTGCTCTGCTCGTAACCTGGCCTGCCCAATCCCTGCTGTGGCAGGCCTGGGCTCTACAGGGAAAGTGCCTGGTCTTCTGTGTGTCTCTCCCCGCCCCGTTACCCACACCACCCCCTTGTCCTGGCTGCGCTAGATCCATGAGTGTGGAGAGCACAGTGAAGATAGCGAGGATCATGTCTCTGGCTTTTCAGTCCTAGAGTAAGCATGTGTTCTGTTTGTTTCTGTAGGCCATGGCAGCAGATAAAAGTGATGAGTGGTTTGCTAATCATAAGAGACCAAAGGCTTCGGGTTAGTGGAAGACTTCGTGCAGAGCAAGTACTGTGGTTCTTGGCCAGCACCCATGAGGCATCGTGCAGGCAAGGGGTCCCAGGTGATGAACAAGGCTGTATTATAATCTTTCAGAGCTGTCGCATATTTTAGAAATGAAACCCAATCCTCACGCAGGCCCAGAGAAGCTCTTCACTGGAATGGCATGTTTGTACGAGTGTTCAAGGTGTGGCAAGGATCTTCCAGCCTGGGACAGTCCCATGCCACTCTGACTGGGCAGGGAGGTGGTTTTGAGGTGCTGGGGGTTGTGTGGGTCTTCAGAGCATGACCATAAGCTCTTCCTGATCTTGCCCTGACAGATACTGATATTTAAGATTTTTGTTTTGGAGAAGCTTTGTTCCTTGCGTAAGAGTTGGTTGACACCCCATCTCACGTGCTCTGACAGTCTGAGTTGCTACAGAATGCAAGAGGGATTTTCACGTGTTGGTCTGCTCCATGCCTGGCTCTCTATAGGATTTTTTTTAATCCTCCCAAGATAGAACACCATGTTAGACTTTTTAAAATTTCTTAAATGATTTCCTCAGCTTTCAGAAAAAGAGTGTCTTTTTTTTTTTCTACTTAGTTTTGTGCTTTAAACAGGATTTTTAAAAAATTAGTTTTAATTACTGGAACAAAACCCAAAAGTCACTAGAAACTGAATTGTATTGGGTGTATTATTTTATTATTTTAAAAAATAAACTTCTGCAATCAAGCTGCTGTCCACTAGTCTCTGAGTCTTGTGCTAGAAAGTGCTATCCAGGTTCAGACTGCAGAGACTAAACTGGGGAGATGGAAAGGATGGATGACACAGCAGTCTGGACCAAGTGAGCCCTATAGCTCGGCTCCTGCTGCTCACCCTGGGCGGGAGGTTTGTTTGCTTCTCTGCCTCCCAGCCTCCCAGCCTCCTTCCCAGGGAGCACTACCACACTTTCCATTCCACACAAATTCCTCTTTGTAGGAAGCAGTCCTAAATTTCACAGTAAACTTGGCTCAGTTTACCCCTCCCCTGTGATACGGGTTTGTCTTTTTGTCTATACATGGGAAGTTAGTAACACAAACTTCATGTAATCAGATAAGGTTCTGTGCCTGAACTATGTTAATTTGCCAGTGTTCTTTGGATTATTAATTCTTGTTGTTTGTCTCTAATAATATTGTGAAAATACTTCCTCTGTTTCAGGCTACTGTAGTGTGGCTTTCTAAATTTATAAGTTTAAGTAATAAATTACTAACACATGTGTCTATCTTCTACTTTAATATATCAAAAAGTGTTTTTCTTCAGTGTGCAACGATGCATGATTGAAAGTAATGCTGTTTATGCACTTGGGACGTTTTGGCTTTCTGATGGGCCTCTAGGTGAAACGCACAGGTGTAGGGTGGCCATGCTGCAGGAGCTCCCCTGTATTTGTAAGATTTATTTTATGTGAAGGAGAGAGAGAGGCAGGGAGGGAGGTACAAAGGGAGAGAAAGAGAAATCGATCTTCCAGATGCTGATTCACTCCCCAAATAGTCACAGTCACCAGAGCCATGCCGACGAGGAGCCATGAGCTCCTGCCAGGTCTCCCATGTGGGTGCCGGGTCCAAGGACTTGGCAGCCCTTTGCTGCTTTCCCAGGCCATCAGCAGGGAGCTGGATGGAGAAGTGAAGCAGCCAGGTCACGATGCTGGCCCCTTTCTTAGTTTTCACCTCCAGGAGATGTGACTTTCTCAGGCACCTGGAGAATACCACCTAGCTGGTCCTTCGTGTCAGATCCCAGACACGAAAGACCAGCAGCTCAGGTCAGGCACTCCTGCACTTGCATGGATTAAGGGATGCGCTGTGTTCTGACAACCAATCCCCATACACAAACATATTCATGTTACCCCACACACACCTCTTCCTAAAAACCAGGGGCAACTACAAATTGTCCGAGAAAATTATGGTTGCTGGGCACAGTGTGACAGAGGCTGGGATTTTGAAACCCTCTGTTCTATTTCTCAACTGTTGTGCAGCTATCCACTGCACAAAACGTTTGCCTGGCATCACCTGTGTTCAGTGGGGGGCTTTCGGAAGGCAGAGAGCCCTGCTCTACTCTCCATAGTTTTGGGTTCTTGAAGAACAAGGGGGCTAGGGCCCCCCTGCTCTTCAGAGACCAAGTCCTTGGAGCCTGCTCTCCCCGATCATAGACGCTGCCTGGTCATGGGTCTCCTTCCAACCTGCCTGCTCTTGCCAATTAGCGACAGGTGTTATAGGAGTGGCAGGCTGGGGAAGTACACTCAGAGCCACGCAGAGCGCAGTGGGCATGGGCCCTTGCCCAGAGGAGGGATGCCCGTGCGCCATTCAACTTGCATCACGCAGGCCTGCAGTTCTAGTGATTTATTGCTGCCTCAGCCATCCCCGCCGCCACCCACGTGGGTCGTTGCCCACCACGTCTTCTCAGACACTCCCAACCGGAAGAACCTCTCCAGGCACTTCCTTAAGCAGCCTCGTTTTTCTTCAGCTCATCCACTTTGGCCACATAGTTCCTCATGGCGTCCATCTTGGACATGCCTTTGATCTTGTTCCACGCCTCCCACTTGGCCTTGGCTCTCAGCTCTGAGACAGGAGGCACAGGGAGGTTGCAGTCGCCCTGAGTGGCCTGTTTGTAGAAGCTGTACATCAGCAGCTTCTCCTGGTCGCTCAGGGGGTTCTTGAGCTGCTTGACGGCTGCGCACGCCATCTCAAATTCCACCTGGCTCATCAGGATGCCCGAGGCTTGACCCCTCTGGCCTTCCTAGATGATCCCCGGGCTGGGAACTGCGGAGTGGAGAGAACACCGGAGGCTAATGTGAGCTCCTAGAGAGGCAGGGACACGTGTCCACACAGGTGTGGGGTTTTCTCAGGTACCAATTGCAGACCAGGGGGCAACTGGCTGGGCCTGTTCCACAAGAGGTTTAGTTGAACAGAGCACCCCCAGGAGAAGGCGACCCATCTGCTGTGTGGAGGACACAGTGTGGCACGGCTGTTGGGACCGTGTGTGCAGCTGGACCTGCAGGCCAACCAAACTCAAAGGGGAGGAAGCATCAGTGCATTGTCAGGTAAGTGGGCAAATCGGCCAGGGTCCTGTCCTGCATGAGGGTGAATGCGGGACCCATGAGGACCCAGCGAGCCGTGTAGGCGAGAAGGGCGAGAACATGGGTGGCTGGGTAAAAGCACGCGGCCTGGAAAGGTAAGCCCGGGTACCTGCCTGCTGGCTGGAAGGAGACCGAGAGGGGGCGCTGTAGGCTGGGCAGCTCCGACACCGCGAGCTTGCTGGTGGGGAGCGCGCCTGCGCGCTGCGCGGGGGCGGCGGGGGGGGCGGTTGTGGGCGGAGTCTGCCGCCCCGCCCCGCCCATTGTGCGGTGGCGCCTGCGCCGTGCTCGCTCCGGCTTCTGGGGGAGGGGCGGCCTCGGCCCCGCGCCAGCCCGCGCGTCGCCGCCATGGACTTAGGTGGGTGTCCGGCTCCCCGTCCCGGGCCGGTCCGCGACGCGCCCCCGGGCGGTGCTTCCCGAAGGGCCGCCTCCCGCGCCGGCCTGGGCTCAGGGAGCCTTCCTGGTCGGGGAAGGGTTCGTGGAAGGTCCGGGGTGTCGGGCCCGGCCGCGCCTTGGCCGGCCTCTGGTGACCTGGGGAGTCACCCCCTTCTTCACGGGGGGGAAATGCGAAAGGGCGGCCGGGCCGGGCGTGTGAGAGCGGCGGGGCCGGCGCACGTGCGGGAAGGCATGTCGCCCCGGTGTGGCGAACGCCTGCTCGGCTCCTCGGCGACTTTGCCGCTCACTCGGGTTCCCTCACGAGAAGCGTGGGCGGGACGGCGTGGAGTTTGCTGTGGGATGGGCCGCCGTGTGAAGTGAAGTTCCTCCCTTCGGGGCCTGGGCGCTGGCCAGTCGGAGCTGTGAGGGAGAGCTCGCACGTGACAAAGATCTTCCAGCCCGCCGGGTCAGGAATTGTCGGTTCTGGGGCCAGGCTGAAGCCAGCAACTCCAGCCAGGACTCCCGCGTGGGTGGCAGGGGGGACTCCAGCACTGGAACCGTCACCTGCCGTCTCCCGGGGTTTGGGACGGGGTGTCCCGCCTGGGCTAAATGCCTGTTGGTTGAGACTCCTCCAGGCAAGGATGGAAAAAGGAAGGGAGAAGGTAGAAATGAATGGCCGTCCACCTGTCAGGTGTACCTTTCCATCTAGTGAGAAAATGTGGGGCGTGAGGCCCTGACCCTAGCCAGCTCCTCAGTGGTGGAATGAGGGATTGGGAAGAGCAGTGTGGAGCCCTCCGTTGTGGTGATTTAAAAAAAAAAAAATTGTTTGAAAAGGGGGAGATACAAAGAGAGATTTTCTGTTCAATGGTTCACTCCCCAGATAGCAGCTCTGGGCTGGGCCAAGTTGTGGTTATTTGTGTCTCAGCCTCACTTTGTGGTGGTGGACAACCCTGAGCAAACTACACCTGAGCCTCAGCCTCTGAAACAAGAATAATAATCCTCAAAAGGTTATTTTGAAGATTAGGAGAGAGATCCTACCAGTGTACCCCCTAGCACGGTACCTGGTGTGCACAAGCACTTAGCAAACATCAGAAGTGGGCACTCGCAAGCACCAGCGATAAGGCACCTGGATTTTCCTGAGCCCTAACTGCTCCTGGGACTCCCTCAGAGAATACTTGGGCATCCTTGGGTCTGCAAGGCAGCTGTTGGGGCCTCCTGTCTACTCAGCTGAGCTGACCGTGCGGAGCAGTAACTTTGAGAGGAAGGCATATTTGGGCCCCTGCCACCTGCTTGGGAGACCTGGATGGATCTCTTGGCTTCAGCCTGGCCCTGTTCTGGTCATTGTGGCCATCCAGTAAATGAACCAGTGGATGGGAGGGTTTTCTTTGTTGTTTCTCCCTCTCAGTCTGTAACTTTCAAATTACTTTTAAAAAGAAAAAGTAAGAAACATAATTTGGGGACCCTGGGAGAGCTGCCCGAGCTAACCCCCCAGATAGACACCCTGGGCGCCTTAGCCTCGCTTGGAGTCAGCCCGACCATTATGGGGATGCCCAGCTCTGGGCCTTCCGCTGCCCTCATGACGTGCTGCACAGGCTGGACACCCCTGAGTGTCTCTGAGTCGGTATGTTCTCTGCTGGCTTCTGGTCGGTGTAGGTGGTAACAAGGTGCTCTTGGGGATGGGGGCTGTGTGAGGGGCTGCCTCTCTGGGGCCTGGGAAGAGGGGCAGAAGCAAGTGTTGGATGGTGAGCAGTGTTTGCACTCTGTATTTTGTTTCTGGGCCAAAAATAACATACTTGATAAAGACGCACATACTTTCATGTTTCTGAGCTGGGAGGGGGTGAAGCAAAGAGCAGTGACCACGTTCTTGCCACACTAAAGAGGTGTGGGGAACCAACATTCACTGGAGCATTTAATTAGTGCGATGCTTATTGTGGCTTTGTGGTATTAAGTGGTGAGGCATCCCTGGAAGCCGGGATGGGGAGGTGAATAGCACCAACCCTAAGCAAGGGCTTGGCTAGTGCGTATGTTGTTGGATGTTCACGGTGTAACAGGACATTGGACTTGTGCTCATGGATGTGGAAGTGATCAGTCCATTATCACATGATGTGGCTGTGGCTGAGGATGCCCAAGATGCCTGTTTGGATCTGTCATTTGTGGCATACTGAAGGAAGCAGATTGCCTTGCTTTTCTTCTTCTAATGTTGTGGTTTAGGTGACTGCCACCTGGTTTACACCACAGCCAAGGTTATAATGAGGTTATGCTTGACAAGAAAACTGGGGTGGGGAGAGGGAAAGGGCCGTCTCCTTGGGAGGCAGAGGGGTGGTTAGAGCCTGTTTGCCAGGCTGGAGGGAAACAGGACCAGGTAGGGACCATCTGCCTGCCCCTATGCCCAGTGCCCTGGGCCATGCCCGTCTTGGCATGTCTTTGTCATGACTGAGAGGCTCAGGGGCCATGTCCTCCTGTCCAGACTCCCCCCGAGGTTGGGTGCTGTGCTGTATCAGCCCTTCGTTCCAGAGCCTGTGCAGGAGGCCCTAGTCCTACAGTGCAGCCTCTCCTCCACACACTTGTCCTGAATCCACCCACTGGTTTCCTTGGTGCCAGTGCTCCCATCTGGACAGATGTAGCCCCCAGAATCCCCTTGCTGGGCTAACCTTGCCTCCTGACCTTCAGCTTTGCATGTCTGTGGCCAGAGGAGAGTTTCCGTGTCCAAATGACCAGAACAGAGCTTGCCCCCTGACTAATATGTTGAGTTTGTGCTCCTCACCCTCTCCAGGCTTAGAAGGGTTGGAGGTCATCTTTGTATGCCTCAGTTGAATTTTATTTGGTTTGAGAGACTGACAGAAGTGCACTCCCACTGATTGGTTCACTCCCGACGTGCCCCCAATGACTGGGGCTGGGCTGGAGCCAGGAGCTGAGAACGATCTCCGGGGTTCCCGCCTGGTGACAGAAACTCAGCTGCTCAGGCATCAGTACTGCCTTCCTTGTGTCCGCGTTGCACAAAGCTGCAGTTCGGAGGCAGAGCCGGGTATTAGCCCTGGCACTCCAACAAGAACACAGGCATCTTAGCTGTTAGGCTGAATACCCAGTCCTCTCAGCAGTCTTTTTTCTTTTTTTTCTTTTTTAACTTATTATTTGAAAGACAGTTAGAGGCAGAGACGAGAAATCGGTCTGTTATTTCCTGATTCATCCCCAAATGGCCGCAGTGTTTGTTCAGGGCTGGGCCAGGCCAGAGCAAGAGCTCCTGATTGGGTCTCCCATATGGGAGCAGGGTCCCAAGCACTTGGGCCATCCTCTGCTACTTTCCTTGGCACGTTATCAGAGAGCTGGATTGGAGGTGGACCAGCTGGGGCTCAAACTACCACCACCCATGTAGGATGCTGGTGCCGCAGGCAGCCGCTCCACCCATCACACCACAACACTGAGCCCCAGGCAGTCACCCTTTGTGATCCCTGACGCTGATATCCACAACCAATACACTCTGGTGTCTCCCTCTACATGTGCCATTTTCCCTCCATCCGATCTTACTGGGCTTCTCTCTGTGCAGGCCCCTTGAACATCTGTGAGGAAATGACCATTCTGCATGGGGGCTTCCTGCTGGCTGAGCAGCTCTTCCGCCCCAAAGCACTGGCAGAATTGACCAAGTCTGACTGGGAACATGTCGGACAGCCCATCGTGGAGGCCCTGAGGGAGATCTCCTCAGCCACAGCACACTCCCAGCCCTTTGCCTGGAAGAAGAAAGCTCTCATCATCATCTGGGCCAAGGTTCTTCAGCCCTCTCCTGTCACCCCCTCCGACACCGAAGCACGCTGGCAAGAAGATGTCTTCTTCTCCGTGGGCAACATGATCCCCACCATCAACCACACGGTGCTCTTCGAGCTGCTCAAGTCCCTGGAAGCGTCGGGACTTTTCATCCAGCTCCTGATGGCTCTGCCCACCACTGTGTGCCGGGCAGAGCTGGAGCACTTCCTGGAGCACATGGCCATTGACACTTCTTCCAAGGATGTGGCCTTCTTCCTCGATGTCTGGTGGGAGATGATGAAGCACAAGGGCGACCAGCAGGACCCACTGCTTTCCCAGTTCAGAACGATGGCCCACAAGTACTTGCCCTCCTCAGACGAATTCTCCCATCCCCCGAAGAGGTTTAAGTCAGACCCTGCCGTGTGTCCGACCATGCCCCTGCTAGCCATGCTGCTTCATGGGCTGAAGCAAATCCAGAACAGGATCCTGTGCCTGGGGATGAAGTGCTGTGCACTGGCCAACCTGGCTGACATGCTGACTGTGTTTGCGCTGGTGGAGGACGACCCTCAGGAAGTATCCGCTACCATGTACCTGGACAAGCTGGCCACGGTGATCTCTGTGTGGAATTCAGACACGCAGAACCCTTACCACCAACAGGCCTTGGTAGAGAAGGTCAAGGAGGCAGAGCGGGACATCAGCCTGACTTCCCTGGCCAAACTGCCGAACGAGACCATCTTCCTGGGGTTTGAGTACATGCACAGCCTGCTGCGGGAGTGGGGAGAAGAGCTGCAGGCCATGCTCAACAGCAGCCAGGGCACGAGCTATGACAGCTACCGGCTGTGTGACAGCCTGACATCCTTCAGCCAGAACCTGAGGCTCTACCTGGCCTCCAGCAGCCTGCCCAAGGAGGAGAGGCAGGTGGTGTCCGAGCTGGCCAGATGTGTGGAAGACTTCCTGAGGAGAACCAGCGGGGTACTAAAGGACAAGGGCTCTGAGGACATCACTGCTGCCATTGCCATGGCCATTATTGAGCAGAAGATGGACCGACACATGGAAATGTGCTACATTTTTGCCTCTGAGAAGAAGTGGGCTTTCTCAGAGGAGTGGGTAGCCTGCCTGGTTAATAACAGGGCTCTCTTCCGGGATCCAGACTTGATTTTAAGGCTGCTGGAAACAGTGATCGAAGTCACTGCCACGGACAGAATCATTCCCAAATCTCAGATGAAACAGGTGATCAACCTGATCCTGGAATGTTACACAGACCTCTCCCTGCCGGATAAAAACAAAGTGCTGTCAGGCGTCCTGCATTCCTGGGGACGCAAGGGCCTCTCAGAGAAGCTCTTGCCTTACCTGGAGCGTTTCCAGGAAGACCTCAATACAACTTTCAACCAGCTCACCCAGGGCACCTCGGAGCAGGGCCTGGCTCGAGCTGTGGGGTCCGTGGCCCGCCTGGTGCTGCTGTACCCAGAGATCACAGTGAAGAAGATGTGCAGCATGGCTGTGATCAACCTTGGCACCCACAGGTTCCTGGCGCAGATCCTCACGGCTTTCCCCGCCCTCAGGTTCACAGAAGATGAAGGGGGCCCATGCTCATCCAGCACTTTCGTGGTGTCATGCCTCAAAGAAACCGTCTGGACAAAGTTCTCCACCCCCAAAGAAGAAAAGCAGTTTTTGGAGCTGCTGAGCTTGCTGCTGAACCCCGTGAAGTCCCAGGGGATTCCAGTCGCAGCCCTCCTGGAGCCCGACGAGGTGCTGAAGGAGTTTGTTCTGCCCTTCCTGAGGCTGGATGTGGAAGAGGTGGACCTCAGCCTGAAGATCTTCCTGCAGACCCTCGAGGCGAATGCAAGCTTAGAGGAGTACTGGCTCCAGACCTGCTCCCCTTTCCCCCTCATCTTCAGCTTGTGCCAGCTGCTAGATGGCTTCAGCAAGTACTGGCAGCTGCCCAAGGAGAAGCGATGCCTCTCCCTGGAGGACAAGGATCTGGTGATCCGGCTCCTGGCCCTTCTCTGTGAGATTGTGCTAGCCAATGTGGATGCCTTCTCCCCAGACAGCTGGATCAAGTCTCTGTCGTGGCTCCACCGTAAGCTGGAGCAGCTAGACTGGACTGTGGGCCTCAGACTCAAGAACTTCTTTGAGGGCCACTTCAAGTGTGAGGTGCCCACCACCCTTTTTGAGATCTGTAAGCTCTCTGAGGCCGAGTGGACCTCCCAGGCCCACCCGGGGTACGGGCCTGGCACGGGGCTTCTGGCCTGGATGGAGTGCGGCTACATCTCCGGCAGTGTCTCCGAACAGATGCTGTCTCTCCTGGTGGTGGACATGGGCAATCCTGAGGAGGTCCGATTGTTCAGCAAGGGCTTTCTGGTGGCCCTGGTGCAGGTCATGCCTTGGTGCAGCCCCCAGGAGTGGCAGCTCCTTTACCAGCTGACCAGGAAGCTGTTGGAGAAGCAGCTCCTCCATGTCCCGTACAGCCTGGAGTACATCCAGTTTATTCCCCTGCTCAATCTAAAGCCTTTTGCTCAGGAGCTGCAGCTCTCTGTGCTCTTCCTAAGGACTTTCCAGTTTCTGTGCAGCCAGAGTTGTCGCAACTGGCTTCCCACGGAAGGCTGGAGCCACGTGGTCAAACTCCTGTGCAGCAGTGTGAGCAGCCTCCTAGACTCAGTCAGGCTGACACAGTCGGCTGAGCCCTGGGCCCAAGGCAAGGAGCAGGACTTGACCCAGGAAGCCCTGTTTGTCTATACGCAGGTTTTCTGTCATGTTTTACACATCATGGCCATGCTCCCCCAGGAGGTCTGTGAGCCACTGTACGTGCTGGCCTTGGAAATCCTCACCTGCTATGAAACAATGAGCAAGATCCATCCTTCTGCGAGCTCCCTGTTACAGAAGGTGAATGAGCAGCGCTTCTTGAAGTCCATCGCGGAGAACATCAGCCCCCAGGAGCGGCGCCAGACCCTGTTGCAGAAGATCAACAACTTCTGACATAGTTGGGTAGGCAAAAGCTGGGCCCAGCACAGCTGTTCTGTAGGGGGCTGCATTCGGGAAGCCCGGGCTTGACAGTCTCATGAAACTGTACACAGGATTAAAACGTATATGGCAATAATGGTGTAAAGAAAATAGTTTCTTAGGTATTTGTAACAAACAAGTTATAATAAAATTCTCTTTCCAGTTTCTTCTTGCCTCAGTCTTTCTCAGCACTCAGCAGGAGCCCAGGACTGAATACACTGAGTTAGACAGAGCCTCTAATATCCAGCCCAGCTGGGAGGAATGGGTTTGTAAATGAACCTCTCCACCCTAGATTTTGGCAAACACAAAGGTAGACTCACCCAAGTGGGAAAAAAAATCCTGTGTATGTAGTTTGCATTGAGATCCTCGGCAAGAGTCATTTTAGTACTAACATTCACAGCATATCTTGGAAAGGGCAGCCATAGGAAAGGAGCTTCCGTCTAGCCCTGGCTCTGCCTCTTTACCCAGGAGGCCTGTGCCATTGCAAAGAGAGGGTAGAAGCAAGGAAAACTTAAGCATTAAGATTGGTGCCCTCAATGGCAGCAGGTGCCTTTTGAAGGGATGACAGCCCTGGAGTTTTAACTCTCCACTGAGGGCACAGAGGAGGCTGTGCTCAGGCTACTAGCTTGGAAAAAGACATTCAAAGGATGGTGGTGATTATCTTCTGATGGGTATGAGGTTGTCATGGTGCTGATGGACGAGTGGGAGCAGAGAATAGTGTGTACAGAAGCATAATGTGAGGCTTGAAGGAGCCGGGGGTATTGTTACTGAAGAGAGAGCTGGCTGGGAAGATGCTTATTTCACTGTATTCAAAATGGGCATTTCCGTTCCCCATACCTGGGTACTGGGGTGGCTGGGAGGCTGGATGTGGCTTCTCCCTTATCTCCGCTGTTCCCCCTGATACAGGGGAAAAAAAGGTATGCAAATAATGGTTTCACCCACTTTCCCCTAATCCTCAACACTTCCCACCCTGATCAACTGTGTAAACATCATCAAAAATAATTTTTTAAAGGGTATTCCTGGACCCAGCATGGCAACCAGCGGCTAAAATTCTTGCCTTGCATGTGCCGGGATCCCATATGGGTGCCCGTTCTAATCTCAGTGGCCCCATTTCCTATCCAGCTTCCTGCTTGTTGCCTGGGAATGCAGTTGAGGATGGCCCAAAGCCTTGGGACTCTCCCATGTGGGAGACCTGGAAGAGGCTCCTGATAGGTGCAGCTACCTGGGGAATGAATCAGTGGAAGGAAGATCTTTCTTCCTCTCTGTCTTCCTCTCTTTTCTTCCTATCTGACTTTCCAATAAAAAAAGTTAAAAGTTTTTTTAAAGGAGGCGTTCCAGGGCCATTTCTGTGGCATAGCACTCTAACCCTCTATCTGCAGTACCAACATTCCCTTATGGGTACTGATTAGTCTCATCTGCTCTACTTCCAACCCAGCTCCCTGCTAATGAGCCTGGGAGCAGCAGAAGATGGTCCAAGTGCTTGAGTCTTTGCACCTACATGGAAGACTTAAAAGCAGCTCCTGGCTTCAGGCCGCCCAGCTTCAGCCATTATGGCCATTTAGGGAGTGAACCGGAAGATCTTTGTCTCTCCTCCTCTGTAAATCTGACGATTTGTTTTTTTATTAAAGTCAGATATACAGAGGGGAAGATCTTCTGTCCACTCCCCAACTGGCCGCAACGGCTGGGGTTGAGCTGATCAAAGTCAGGAGCTTCTTCCAGGTCTGCTATGTGGATGTAATGTCCCAAGGCTTTTGGACTGTCCTCAACTCCTTTCCCAGGCCACAAACAGGGAGCTGGATGGGAAGCAGAGCCACTGGGATTAGAACTGGTGCACATATGGGATCCCGGTGCATGCAAGGTGAGACTCCCACTAGGTTACTAGGCCAGGCCCAGATATCTAAAAAAAAAAAAAAACTAAAGTAGACACTGGCTCTGTGACTAACAATTAGGCTTCAGCCTCAGCTCCAGTTGGGATTCACCCATAAAGAGAAGGGCCTACAGTTACATGACCACTTAGCGTGGACTCTGGGAGTTCTAGGGGTTGTGAATCATAGAGACAGGACTGGATGAGGTCTTGGGTAGACCCTCCTGGACACCAAGAGCATCAGTACACACACTGCCATCAGCAGTCAGCACGCAGCAGCCAGTCCAGCTGGGTCAAAGGATTGCTTCTTACAGGAAATTGGTAATGGTGTATTTCACAAATGAGAGTAAGTTGGGAAATTAGTGCAATTTAATCACCATAGGGAATGACACCAATACAGTCAATAAAAATAGCATGTAAAAAAAACTGTAGCATTTTACATTTTATAAATGGCACCCATTGAAGACTGAACCAGTCGAAATTTGAGACACTGTTACCTACCATTAAGTCCTTTAAGAAACCATGGACAATTAAAAGGCACTTTGAGGATTCTAGTTTTTCACTTGTCGCAGTCTCTCAAACCCGCCCTAGTTGATAAGGAATGATTAATGCTGGCACCAGAGAATCCTATTTGCAAATGGGGTGAAGGCGTCAGTCCACAGGACATACTTGACCAGGCGGGTTGCCCTCTTGTGCTCCAGCCTTCTGGGCTAAGTGGCAGTATGCTCAGCATAGGAACAGGCATCCGACCACCAACAGGCGTACCAGGGGCTCTGTGGGAAGCGCTCTGCTAGCTGGATGTGCCTTCTCTTGATGGAGGACCTTCGCATGAAGAGGACCATGTCGAAGGCTGTGTCACCCAGCACATGTTTTGCCCATAGCTGTTAGGAAAGCTTCCTGGGCGTGTGGACACGGGGAAGGCTGGGCATGAGGGAACTTGCTAAACAAAGAATAGCATTTGTGACAGCTTGCAACAGGTCCACACATTTCACCTTGGTCTCTTTAGCAAGTCTGCCTTCAAAGGCCATGTTGACCTCTTGGTCTCTTACCTATACAAGCACGTCAGTTTCCATCCCTGCTTCCCTCCTCTGCCAGGGAGACTTCCAATCAGAAGTCAGTACATACGGGAATTCATTGCTGACACAGGGATGAGAGGATGAGACAAAGAACCCATGGGTTATCTAGTAAACAATTTTTAAAAATTAGCTCTCCACGATGATTTTTCCTAGGCCAACACTGCATGCAGACGTTGTTTCAGGAACCAAGTCATGACTCGCTCTGTTGACCTTAATGCAAATGGAGACCACCCCTGGGTGGCACAAAGAGTTGGTGGCCACCAATATTTGCCCAGCCACTTATCACCGTGGTCCATTGATGGTCATACCCCTGCTTCTACCTCCCAGAGCTTTGGAGATAACCCCAAGGATGCATCCTTAGGCTTACAGTGAGAACACCTTGCTGCCAGTGGAGGCCTGACAGGATCCAATAGTTGTTACTAAGACAAAAAAATGCTGTTGCAAAAAGGGCAGGTTAGAAGAGGGAGGCAATGTGAATACTTCTTTAGAAAAACTCAAATCCATCTGCTTATCAACATATAAAGGCTGAGACCATCCAGGGTAGTAATTTGGTCCACAGAACGCTGAGTGTGAGACGCAGCTATGGTGAGGAGGCAGCCTCTCTGCCTGACCCCGTGGGAGTGGTTAGCCATCCTTTTTGACCTCGGGAACATCAAAGAGTCGGGCTGCTTTCCTGCAGAGCAGAGAGAACCAGTAGATCTGGGGAGCGATGAGGAAGGCATTGGCCACATTGCAGTAGAAAGGGATATTGAATGGCACTTGGATCAGGCTTAGCCCCTGCTGTTGGCCATAGGCCCAGTACATAAAGGGAAAAAGGAGAATCCGGCAGGAAAGGAAAGTGGCCAGCGTGAGGATTCCGTTCATCTTGTAGAGGAGGGTGTGCTGCTGCTTTAGCTGCAACAGAAGGGGCAAGAGAAGGCGATGTCACCAAGAGGTTGGGGCATCAGGGAATGCTTAGCCCAAGTCCCACTGCAAGAGGAGTCAAGCAGGTGTATGGGCTAATCCTAATCCAGGCCATCAGATATTCCACACTTGGAGAGAAGGTTGAGTGCCATCACATCTATATATACATATGACCTCCTGGATCTTCCAGTAATGACACTGAACTTGGCTTGAACACCCTACTAACAGAACAGTGGATTAGAGAACACAAGTGAGGTCTCAAACCTACAAACACACACCCACCCCGCCAGGAAAGACTGATGGTGAAGTCTACTGAAGGGTCTCCAATTCCACTCTCTGGCATTAGGGCGTCCAAACCCTCCACCCTCCACAGGAAAAGCAGGGTCCGTGGCCTCCCACACTCTGTTTGCCCTTCCATTTATATATATATTATATATATTATACATGCCTGAATCAGAACTCTGCCAAGTGACACAAACGGAGTGCTCAGTTCTGCAGTGAAGATGCAACCAACAAAGAAATCCCCAAGGTGTCCCCGGAGTCTCTGCAGATGAAATAAGAGCCAGAGGTTGACAAAACACCAGAGGGAAAGTCCTGCCTGGGAATGGGTGAACACAACAGACCGGGAAGGGCCCAACAGGCCAGCACAGCTCTCTCTGGTGGCCTCAGAGCAGCAGCACTGGGTTGGCTGCATCCCTGGATCGATGCAGACCCTTAGAGCATCACACACCCAGAGGCCTCTGGATTTTCACTACTGCCAAAAGGCCATGTGTAACCCTACTTCTGTGTGTCTTAGTCATGCCAGGGACACTGAACCTGTGTCCAGTCCAAAAAGTGTGCCAGGCCATATGGTAGATGATGGGTCCCAAAGCAATCGAGTAAAACCTCCTAATGATAATACCCTTGGTCCCTCCTTTCTCTAAGAAAGCAGCCTAACATAGTGGTACCAACTTTCGATCAGCCACACTGAGACAGAAATAACCTCTTTTAGGGCCCAGTCTCTCCATCCAGGTGACAGAGCCCAGAGCTCTGAAGTGCCTGCTGCTCCATAGGTCCCCAGGACTGTGTGTGTTCTTTTCATTGCCCTCTCCCATTCTGGCTAGGAAGGTGTTCTCGGGAAAAACATGGACCTGGGGAGAAGACACAATGCTATTTTTGAGTGCTTCTGTGACATCATTCAGTACTGTGTCACTACAGAAGCACCGTTTTGTATTCTATTGGTACTTCATATCATATTAATATCTGATTGGCAGAACTTCTGACACCTGCTAAGGAAATCACAGAGGACTGAGGGGATGGCTCAAAATAATGAGTTGGTCGTGACAATCAAGTATACTTCAGATTTAATGATTTGTGTCCTTTGAGTGCAAGCAGCTGGCACAAGGGGAGGGATGCAGAGCAGCCGGGAGAGAGGGAGGACCAAGGCTGATGCTGCCCTGCAGTCGGGGAAGGCCATACCTGTGCAACTGGTACAAGGACAAACAGAATGACCGCGTGGTGCGTGATCATGAGGCGGTTCTGACTTAGGAAGTTTCGAAACGTGGTGGAGTGGCTGAGATTCTGGTCTCTGGTTCGGTACCACTCACAGAGGTACATGGCATAAGTATCATAGATCATGTATGGAATAAAAAACCAAACATATTCTCGGGCAAGCCAGTGCCTGAAAGAAAGCACAGGGATGGGCCTGAGAAATCATGATGGATGTCGAACAGGAAGGCTCAAAGCCACATATTCCCATAGTCCCTTCCGTTTTTGGCTCCCTAAGCTGCTGTTACTCCAGGTACTTTATGAAATAAAGAAGAGGCGCAGGCCATGATCTCATACTTCAGGGCAAATCCATGCCCGTCAGAGGCACGACAGGTATCGACTCCGCCCCACTGTATTGAAGCAGCTGTCGCTACCTGCATGATGTAGCTGTGCATTTGTAATGGGTTCTTGGCATTTTGTGGCACAGACTGACTGGGATGCAGGTATCTGAAATGATTCAGCAGCCCCACCAAGAAACTGGTTTGGAAAATGTCCCAAGTCCCAAATAATCCATTCGTTCCAGTTGAACTCCTCAGTTGCTCAAGAGCTGGGAGTCTTGACTTAAACTGCTGAACCCACAAATTTTCCCCCGACTGCAACCAATCCCACTCTAGGGGGCCTCTGGGAGCCATGATGGCCGTTTTCCGTGCAAAACTGGCTGATCCCAGTTCTGTTCTGTTCTTTAGGAGGTGGGGCGGGGAGGGGCAAGTCTGGCAATAGACCAGGAGCTCAGGGACCACATCCCAGCAGTCAGACACCAGCAGAGAGCCTGTGGCAGACACCGGGCTCCTCAGCCCTCATCCCGGGGCGGAACCAAGTGTTCACTGAGTCAGTTCACTCGTGTCCTCCAGCAGCTGGCAAGGAGAGTCTGCAGTGACTGCAGGGTGGCATTCTACAGGACTATATATGAAACATCTAAACAAAAGAATGAACTGTGATGGGGCAGATTAGATTTACCAAACTGGCACATTGCTATTGGGCTCCCGTGTATCCAGAGAAACAAATTGTGACTCTCACACTCCCGTTCCGTCAGTATCCCCTGCAAGTGCTTGAGTCTTCTCCCCTGAGAGTAAAGTGCAGGGCCCGCTCAGGTGTGTTTTAACGTGGTCTCAGAGGCGATTTCCTAAGGCACCAGTCCCCCGAAATGCAGTGTTGCTCATTTACTCTGCAGAGCATGCCACTCAAGTCTGTCTTCCTGAATAACCCCTCAGGTGCCACAGCATAGCTAAATAACGAATTAACCATGTGATAAAGGAAAACAAATAGTAATGGCAAACACGGTACACCGATAGGTAAATTTATTAGTTTCCAGCTAGGCAAAAAAAAAAAAAAAAAAATTTATCCTGTCCTTCAGTAGTTTCAGTTGCTTTCCTTTAAAAAAAAATAAATTTATTTGAAACTTAGAAGGAGCCAGGTCTATACCAGGCCACAGCTGGGAGGCTGGAACTCATCGCAGACCTCTCATAGGGTAGCAGCAAACCAGCTCCTTAAGACATCATCTACTGTCCCCAAACTTTAGCAGCAGGCTAGATCAGAGGCAGAAGCAGCACTTGAACCCAGGACTCTGATAAGAGCTGTGGGGGTCCAGGTGGTATCTCAACTGCTGTGCCGTCTGCTTGCCCCTCTGTTGCATTCTTGAATCCCAAATAAAATAACTACTGAATGCATGGCTGAAAATTAAGTGCTACGTCTCTCCTCAGTGTAACATTGGGCTTAATATTTTTACACACAGTACCAATTTAGTAAGAACTGAAATCATGACTCGTAGGTAGGATCTCTGAAGACTTACAAGAGATCTGGATGATAATCTTAGCCACCACTAGCCTGTAATCTACTGTCTCTGTAAAAACAAAAGCGGCAATCTATCTTACTTCTCTGAGTTATTGTTAGGATTTTAAAAAACTGGAAACCTCTTAAATATAGAAAGTACTATCCCGGGCCCTGTACAATAGCCTAGCAGCTAAAGTTCTCACCTTACACACACCAGGATCCCAGATGGGCACCGGCTCATGTCCTGGCTGCCCCGCTTCCCATCCAGCTCCCTGCTTGTGGCCTGGGAAAACAGTTGAGGATGGCCCAAAGCCTTAGGACCCTGCACCCATGTGGGAGACCTGGAAGAGGCTCCTGGTTCCTAGCTCAGTGCAGCTCTAGCTGTTGCAGCCAATTGGGGAGTAAGTCAGTGGACAGAAGATCTCTCTGTTTCTCCTCCTCTCTGTATATCTGACTTTCCAATAAAAATAAAATGAATCTTTTTTTTAAAAAAGAAAGTACTATCCAAATTAAAGTGCCAAAACAGAAAACATCTCTGAGATCAAAGATAAAGTCCTTTTTAAGCATCTATCCTCCGTTAAGACTCTGATGGGAGTCCTTGACCCCACACCACACCATGTGTAAAATCTGGGAGAGGGCATTTCTAGATACCCTTTCCTTCCATAGACTGCTATGTGAAGGCAAGCAGTGAGTGTAGGCGAATCATAACACAAGATCTGGTGTCCATCACGGGCGCCCAGAGGCCTCCTTTCTTAGATAAGAGAAGTGCCTAAAACATCCTTCTGCATCCTCCTTGCACAGGGGAACACACGAACAAACACAGTGCCTGTTTCCATTTTTGTAGAGCAAGACTCTGAGGCATAAAGAGACCTGAAAGGAGAAAGCTAAAACCAAACAGGCTTGCTCCAATGCTCAAGCCACAGAAGCACTCAGGTTCTGAAGGCAGATACAGCAGTGCTATGGGACTGCCCATTATTACACGGGACTCTGTTCTTGAAATGCACAGGGGTTGCTTGCCACTGGCACTCCACGTTAACTGCATCGACTGCAGTGGGCTCTGCCTTCATCGTGGCTTAAGCATTGCAGAAGAAGCTGGTTTGGAATTGGATCTGGCAGAGTGGGGGCACTGAGGAAGCTTGTTGTATGAGATGGGAAAATGCTCAAGTTCATCACCAGGAACCGGTTCTGCTTAAAAAGGAAATCTTAATAGCAGGATCCCTGCCCAGTGAGACAGATGCTCAGCCAGGGTGCCCTTGCTTCCTGGCATGGGGCAAAGCCGAGCGGGGAGAAGGAGGAGGAAGGGTTATCTAGTTGTCCCTGGCACATCTGCCCACCATGCTTTGGTTTGACAGGAAGAAGCGACAGTGTTTCTACAGCAGCAGGTTAAAACACACTATATGGCTCCGTTCCAAATACTACACAAACCACACCATCCTGAGGGTGGCAAACTGGGCTGGACATAACTGCAGTGCTCCAAGGAATGGGTGTAGACTGGGTCTGGCGAGTGCCAGACTGAACTTGACTCCAGCACCCACTGGTGCTCTTGAGAGCCAGGGTGGGTGTAGAATGGGCTGAGCTAGTCTCAGCTCCTGCTGAGCCACGCTAGAGCTGTGTCTGGGCGTGGACCAGGTGTGGCTGGGCTGTAACACCCAACAGTAAGAACCGGAATGGGTGTGGGCTGCTACGGTAGGGCTGCTGTTCCTGCCAGAACAGGAGGCAGACTAAGTCAGTCTGAGCCAAGGACTTACTGGTGTGCATGACATCTGCCATGGGGAGGAGACCTGACAGAGAAGCTTGGGGAATTCCTGTCAGGATGCAGTCCCTGCAGGTGAGTGCAGGAATCAAGGCTGGGAGCAGCCCAGACCAGGCCAGGTTATGGTACCCTTCAGCATACTTGTGGCTCAGGTCTGGGGGCAGGCCAGGCTGAAAGTTCCTAACACCCACTGGCAGATCTGAGAACCAGAATGGGGTGCAGGATGGGCCGAGTTGGGCTGCAGCACCAACCAGTTCATATTAAGGCCAGGACTGGGAGCTAATTGGGCTGAGCTGGAAGGCAACACGCACCAACATGAGCTGGAACTGTGGACACACCAGGCTGGGCCAGGCTACAGTACCCAATGTCAGGTGCTGAAGTGAAGTGGGCCATGCCAGACTGGGGATAACACCCATCAGTACACGAGAGACCAGAAGGGGAGGGACTGCAAGTCCGATAAGGGGTTGCGGGGGCTTCCCTGCTGGGCCACTGCTCCCACTGGTGAGCATGAGAGCTGAGACTAGGGGCAGACCAGGCTGCGCAGTGCCACAACACCTGTTGGCCTGCATGTGAACTGGGTTGGGGGAGAACTAGGTTGGGCCAACTATACCCACTAGTGCATACATATGCTAGAGTAAACGCAGTCTGGTTGGACTTTGCCACAGCATTAGCTGGCAAGTGCTGGGACTGGGGGCAAATCCTGTAAAGCTAGACTGCAGAACCACCTGGAGAGTGCAAGATCCTGGACTGGGAGTGGGTCCAGCAGGAAAACAGTGGGCACCTCTCTGATAGGCAGCAACTCCCACTGGTGAACACGAGAACCACGGTTGGGGGCAGGCCTGGCTAGACATGAGTGTGGGGTTGGTTGGGTTGAGCTAGGCTTCAATGCCTGTTGACATGTACAAGAGCTGAACAGAATGTGGGACAGACTGGACCCAGTCTGCTGCACAAACTGGCAAGCACAAGAGCCAGAGTTGGGGGATGGGTCTGGTAGGGGTTATTGGAGGGTCACTCTGACTAGGCTACAGTTCCCGCTGGTATATATGAGGGCCGTGTGTGGTGGGCAGGGTTGGACTGGGCTGCAGCAGCCACTAGTTTATGTAAGAGATGGGGCTGGAGACAGAACTAACCCAGCAATTGCAACTGCTAGTGTGTGCATAGGCTAATGTGGGTGACAGACTGAGCTGGACCCCATGGTCTGGGATCACCTCAGATGAGGTTTCACTGAGGAGCCCCACAATTGAACCGCTGGACTCAGAACTCCAACCAGAGAACTGCAGGATCTGTGGTCTGACCGTGGAGTGCATGTGTCAGAGCTGGGTTTCCTCAATGGCTTAGAGCACTGGATGGATACCCAGATGCACACAGAGGATATGGCAGTCCACTGGGGCTTGCAGAGGACATCTGGTACCAGTGCAGAGGAAGGAGCACAGAACAAATTGGTCAACTACCCCAGCCAAGCATTGGTAGCAAGTATCTGGGTGAATAGTGGACTCTAAGGTGGACTATGTCAGCGAATGGACCTTGGAAGTATTTCCTCATCCTTGGAGCGAGGAGATCAACAACATTTCAAAATTATCAAAACCATCTGAGCAGAACCCTCGGCTCATGTTCCACATCAGGGACCCTGGGATGACATCGGGTGTCCGTTCCCCATCCCCAGGTACTGAGGTGGTTCGGTGGCTGGGTGTGGCTTCACCCTCATCTTCCCCTCAGACACAGAAATTAAAAAGAAAATTTGGAAACAATGGTTTCTAATCCTTGACTCTTCCTACCCTAATCAACTATGTCAGCTATGTAAACATCATATTATATATCATATATATCATATTATATATATAAATTAATTAAAATCCACACCTTTCTGGCCTTAATTTATGGCTTGATGGACTCAGACTGCAGACGGATGTACACTTCTTTACCTGCCTCTGCCCTGGGCTCCAATACATACACACACTGGTCTGTTTTCAAAAGGACCAGCAAGCAAGTCCAGAGGGAAGACCAGAGCAGCATTTGCAAGAGAGTGGAGTGAGTCTGTTCCTCTCTACCCAAGGGCTCCATTGCCTGCACTGGACATACCTGGCCCCGTGGACACTCCGGAGTGGAAACCCAAGGAAATCATCTACAGGAACCCAAAGCCATACTCCCACTTGGCAAACAACAGTCCTGGACCCACCAGGGCCACGCACCACCTCTAACAGCCACCTTGCATGTGCCTGCGACTCCCTGACTCACTAGCATTTCTTGTGTTTACTTCCTCCTAATCTGGGGATGCTGAAGGAAAGAAGAGGAGAAAGGCAGCGATAGTGATGACCATGTTTTCACCTTAGTCAGCTACCCACCAGCCAGTGCTAGTCAAGAACCAGTGCCTGTAGCAGCTAACATAGCCAGTCCGCAAGAGTTCCCCAGCCCTGGGACCTGTACTTTTCTCGCTCTAGGGCCTGGATGTTACCTGTCGCTGATCACGTCGTTGCAGGAACGGATGACCACGATCCCTGAGCCCGTGGCTAGCACAGCCTGTACCGAAGAAACCAGCCTAACCAGGGCAGAAACGGAAAATAAAAGAAGGCATGTTCGGTCCAGTACTGCGGACAGCACGAGGCCAAACTCCTGGGGATGTCAGGGCAGTGAGGTGAGCAGTAGCTTCAAGAGGTTGTCCTCCCCCTACCCCCACACACACACCCCATCCCTCCGGGGGAGTTCGCAGAGGGTCTTCGGGAAGCTGAGGGTGAAGCCACCGGGAGGAGCAGGCCAGGGAAGGCGGCCCCCTCGCTTCCTGTCGCCCCCCTTTTCCGCCCACGGCGGCGCGGGGCCGGGCGCTGGACAGTGGCGCGCGACTGGCGGGATGGGCAGCGCCCCGGCCCTCGCACGCGCTCGGTACCTGGTGCTGATCATCACGCAGTCGGTCTCCGTCCATTCCGGCCGCGAGCGGCGCAGCGCCCAGGTGCAAAACGCGAAGAGTCCAGGGAAGAAGACAGAGCCCCAGGCCAGCGTCAGCAGCATGGGTGCTCAGGATCCTGCCGCCTGGCGCGGCGCCGCTCGGCGTGGCTCGGGTCGGCTGCGTGCCGCTGGGGAACTGGCGCGGCCCGCCCGTACTTACTCCTACCCTCCGCCCTCGTCCCAGCACCAGCCCCAGTCCACCGCAACTCCCGCAGCCGCCGGGCGCTGGCCCGGAGCCCGCAGCGCGGCCCTCCGCGTGACCAGGCCGGCGGCCGCGATAGGGCACAGGCCGGGGCGGGGCGGGGTCTGGCGGCCGCCACCGCCCCTGGGTTCCCCCCCACCCCCCGAGGGTTTCCCGGGTTCCTCCGGCCAGCAGGCGGGTGGGCTGCGTGGTGGACCAGGGGCCGCTTCCCCAGCCGGTGCCTTGGTGCGCACAGCCAGGCCGGTTCCAAATGCGCAGACACTGCGCCGGGACGGATGGCTGCAGTTGCTGTCTCCAAAGCGGCCACGGGGGCTGAGACACTCCCGGCCTCTGTTCCGTCACTGAGGACGCCTCCCCCGCCCCGTGGACCTTCTGCCCTCCCCAGCACCGGACTAAGAGGGCCAGGTCGGGAGCGGGGTAGAGAAAGCCAGGTAGGTACTTGGGCAGGGCGCAGACCTCCGGGCTAGTCAGGATCCCGTGCGGAGTGCATCCCCGGCTTTGGGAGTAGGAAGGATGGTCGCGGGCTTAGGGCCACCTCCATCACGTCTTGCTTCCGAACATGAGTCTTCAGGAACTGTGTTTGCTACACGAGGGGGTGGATGTCTTCTTCTCGTGCCGCCAACTGCTGGGGAACAGTTCAGTATTCGGCCCCGCCACAGACTCCATCTACTCTGATGCTCTTGGCTTTGGTTCTGGCTCAAGATACTCTCCAGAGTGTGGTGACTGTTTTTATTGTTGTTGACTACGTGTCCTTATTTGAAGTTCTTTGGCCAGGTGCTCTAAACTTGAATGGATCATTTTCATTCAGCATCAATCATGTGGGACAAGTGGAGGGAGCTTCGGAAGGTATAAGGAAAATGTGTATTGTTGGAAAAGTTAAGCATGGTTTTAAAAAAAGTGTACCAAAGTAACCTTATCTTACATTTTTTTCTTTTTAAAAAAATATTTATTTTACTTTTATTGCAAAGTCTGATATACTGAGAGGAGGAGAGACAGAGAGGAAGATCTTCCGTCCGATGATTCACTCCCCAAATGGCCCCAATGACCGGAGCTGAGCCAATCCGAAGCCAGGAGACAGGAACCTCTGCCGGGTCTCCCACATGGGTGCAGGGTCCCAAAGCTTTGGGCCGTCCTCGACTACTTTCCCAGGCCACAAGCAGGGAGCTGGATGGGAAGCAGGGCTGCCAGGATTAGAACTGGTGCCCATATGGGATCCTGGGCGTGCAAGGCGAGGACTTTGGCTGCTAGGCTATCACGCCAAAGGCATCATTTTCTTTTGTAACTCAACTTAGGCCCTACAAGTTGTAGGTACTCAATATATATCTAATACATTTAAAACCTGTTGTTTATTGAGAACTCATTATATGCCAAGCTTTATACCAAACTTTTCAGGTACTACCTAACCCCCCAACAAATCCTTGTTCTGTATAAATGTATGTATGTATGCCACATGTGCACACATGCATGCACTGTGTACTTCCAGAAGCACTTAGAAAATAGAATTAGAAGATAAGTTTAGGGCCCGGCGCGATAGCATAGCAGTTAAAGTCCTCACCTTGAACGGCCAGGATCCCATATGAGCGCCAGTTCTAATCTCTAGCAGCCCAGCTTCCCATCTAGCTCCCTGCTGTGAACCATCGGCTGGAAGATCTTCCTCTCTGTCTCTCCTCCTCTCTGAATATATGCCTTTTCAATAAAAATAAATAAATCTTTAAAAAAGAGATAAGTTTAGGGCCTGGCATCCTGGGTCTGTTTCTTAAAATTCTACCTGCAAGAGCTGGGATCACATATGGATGCCAAGTTCCTGTCCTGGCTGCCCCACTTCCCATCCAACTCTGCTTGTGGCCTGAGAAAGCAGTGGAAGATGGCCCAAGCCTTGGGACCCTGCACCCATGTGGGAGACCCGGAAGTGATTCTCATTTCCTGACTTCAGATCAGTTTAGCTCTGGCCGTTGCAGCCATTTGGCAAGTAAACCAGTCCATAAATCTGACCTTTCAAATAAAAATAAAATCTTCAAAAAGTTTTCTTTTCAAATGCAATTATAAATAAATTATGCAACATTTCAATATTTTTACCACCAAAATAAACTTTTTTTTTAAACTAAATGTTTTGAAGTACCTGTGTGTGTGTAAATATCGTTGTCAAGGTCACACTGCTGGTGGTAGAGCTGAAGTGTTCTGCTTTCAAGGTCACGGTGCTTAGTGATAACACTGACTTCAAACTTGCTAAACCAGGAGACAGTAATAATTTGGGGCAATATAGTTCCTGATTAATTACCACTGTTCCTAATTGTATCCTCACAAATATAAATGTGTGGGAGGGGTTTACAGGTGCTGCTGCTGCTGTTATTAATACCATTTTATATTTATATGCAATTTTGTAGTTTTTAAAAGCATGTCCCCATAGATTCTCACACTTAGTTCTCAGTGTAACCCAGTGGAGCAGGCTCAACATCTGCTTTTCATCCTGGGGATGGAAACACCTGGGTGCACAACGGTGTAAAGCTGCCCAACCAGCCTGTGGGGGTGGCAAGGTGCATGCTCAACTGGGGTTTCTAGTTCAGATTCTGTGACTTCAGCTACTCCTGGCTCGGTTAGGGTGGAAGGAATTTGTAATTCTGCTTGAGGGGGTTTCAGGAGTGAAGCTTGGGTCATTTAGATGGCAAGATAACCCTCCTTCAGAGTTTCACCTCTGGAATAGAGAATGTGTAAACTCCTGGTAGGAAGGGCTTTGAGTCTGCTTTTCATCTCTCTCAGCCCCCTTCTGGGTACATGAAGGTACCTCCCCACTTCTGTGCTCTAGTTTCCCCAACCTGAAATTGAATACTGTATCAACTTGTGGCACACTTTGTGAATTCTCCAGCCAACAATAGAAGTTATGTGGTGTGGGCTACTCTCTTTGATCATGGGCAGCTTCTTTCAAACCAGGAAAGTACAACTATAGGAAAGGCAGTTGAGGTTTGCATAGGGAATGTCTCTATATACTGAGCTGCAGAATCGGAAAAGAACTTGGTGGTCCCAGGCCAGACGAGATAGCCTAGTGGATAAATCCTCACCTTACATGCGCTGGGATCCCATATGGGTGCCAGTTTGTGTCCTGGCTGCTCTGCTTCTCATCCAGCTCCCTGCTTGTGACCTGGAAAAGCAGCTGAGGATGGCCCAAAGCCTTGGGACCCTGCACCCATGTAGGAGACTTAGAAGAAACTCCTGGCTGCTCATTCCAGATTGGCTCAGCTCTGGCTTTTGTGGCCACTTGGGGAATGAACTTTCTGTGTTTCTCCTCTCTATAAATCAGACTTTCCAATGAAAAGAAATAAATCTTTAAAAAAAAATCTTACTGGTCCCAATCTACTCATCCACTAACAAATTCTATCAGAGAAAATCAAACTCCATTCCAAAACAAAAGTTAATTTTGTGTAGGGCCATACTTCACAGGGCAGGACTGAAACAGAAAGAGAGAAGAACAGAGCAAAAAGGAGAAATGTGAGAGGAAGAGACATGGAGACCACAATCTAGCACAAGAAGATGATGCATCAAAGAGAACAAGACAGATAAGGTCACTGGGAAGAAAGGGTGCAGCCTGGGAGACAGAAAGGCCGGTGCCAAGATTCAGATATGGGGTCCAGAAATTGGCATTCACATCGGGTGTGTCAGGAGCAACAGATGTGATGAGGCTGACAGAGGTAGGAGTAACATCCTTTTAATGAAGCAGCACTCCCTCAGACTGATGTCAACAAAAAAACAAATTGCATTTAAAAAAGTATGGCATGGGATGCCATGCCAGTGCAATGGCTGAATTGGCTAATCCTCCACCTTCAAGTACAGCATCCATATGGGTGCCAGTTTGTGTCCTGGCTGCTTCCCTTCCCATCCAGCTCCCTGCTTGTGGCCTGGAAAAGCAGTCAAAGATGGCCCAAGACTTTGGGACCCTTCATCTGCTTGGGAGACACAGAGGCAGCTCAAATCAGCTCGGCTCCAGCTGTTGTGGCCATTTGGGGAGTGAACCAGCAGATGGAAGATTCTTCTCTCTGTCTCCTCTCTGTAAATCAGACTTTCCAATAAAAATGAATAAATCTTTTTAAAAAAAAATGTATGGCACAAGTATGCATGTGATTTGCTGTTAGGAGTAAATGTGTGGCCAGGAGTGAGTGAATTGCCCCTCTCTTAAATTTCCCCTCACTTCACGTTCAGTAAGAGCACCTGATGGATATGTCCCTGTCCTGTTATTTCTAGGTATATTTCCAAGCAGACCACAAGCCAGGAAGGTAAGGACTGTGGGAGGCAGCCATGGCAGACAAGCGCAGAGTTTGGAAAAGAGAAGCTAAGTTGCAGACCTGGCTCTGCCACCCCAGGAGCTGTGTGCCGTGAAGGACATGGACGTGCTCACCTCCCTTGTCCAATGGGCTCCCTCCATCTGCATCTCAGTGTGCCTGGGACAATCAGGTGAGATATCATTTTCAACAGTACATGCTAAATTACATGCTGGGAAGAGCAAGAGGTTATGTTCGCCCTGGGCCCTGCTCTCACACTCCACCATAAGCAGTTCTTGGATTGTAGGCACAGCGAGGCTGGCCTTCACCTGCAGCCCCCTTTGTTTTGTTGCAGACTGTTTGCAGAAAGCCAACTATGAGTGGAAGGAGTGCAGTCACACAAGGTTTCTGCAAACACAGGCCACTGCCGCACACCACAGGGAAGTCTGCTCTTGTACACAGTGATAATGGCTCCTGTCAATAGAAACTCACTGTTTACACAAAGACCTAATTATGTGGTGCTCGCCTTTGTGTGTTCCTTTATACTTTCCACGGTGCTTTCACACACATTCTATAAGGGAGCATTTCTAAGTCAGACTCAAAAAAACAAA